GATCGCAGTCAACAAAAGTAATCAGCTTTGATTTTTTCAGATGATGCATCAGGTGCTGCACCAATGGAAGTACATCGTGTCTATGCTGATGGACATGGATGGAACTGTGAAAAGCGTAAACCCACATCTGGGCCGAACGCTCGTCAACTAGTTACGCGAAGAGCGGGCGTGACTACGCAACGCAAATCCCAAAGGCAGCTTCAGAATCTCAAACAAACTTGTTACAACCCTCGACTATGAAGTGCAAACGTCAGCCTCCTTCTTTTCGCTCCCACGCAACACAAAAGAATAAGGAAGCAAGGCACGGGACACACCCGAACATGTTCTGTTCCAAATGCCACTCTGTTTCGCTGAACGTAATACTGCTACTGCAGCTTGGTTCAATTCTGTACTAGTTACGCGAGTGTAAAACCAATCGAAACCCTCCCAGTTTAAACTAGCTGCAACATTGCTGGCGGGATGCCTTTTTCTGCGTTTGCCTTGGCAGTGGATCGTTTTGTCACGATTGGGCGTCGCACTGCTCAGTTTTGTTTTGGTCTCTTGATGCGTTGTTTGTTTTGAGGCTCCCCCCGCCCCCCTGGACTCCTAACGCGGCAGCTTTGCAGGTCGGATTCTGTATGTCGTCGGAGTTCAGTATCATCTCAGAGTAACAGCGTATACTGGGGAGGACCGCCTTCGGGAGTCCAAATTCTATATACTTTTCCAACCCCAAAAATAGGCATCAAACAAATCGAACAATCTAATGACATCATCTTGCGCATCTTGCGGAGGCGTCTGGAGTCACAAAGCTGGAACTTTTTCAACTCTTTCCCCATTGCAAATGAGGTTTCGGCAGGTATACCGATTCCGCCCGACCCCGGCAAGACTCCGCAACTAAGGATATCAAAACTTGAACAAAATTGTGGTAAAACCGAAATTTTGCATCTCCAGCCTTCTTACGGAATCTGCTGGAGTCATGAAATCGAAATTCTTCCCCCAATGTGAACAAAGGACTCATCCCATTTTGAATGTATACTATTATTCTTTAACCGGATGACACTGAACCCCGACGACATACAGAATCCGACCTGCAACGCTGCTGCGTTAGGAGTCCAGGGGGGCGGGGGGAGCCCAAAAACAAACAACGCATCAAGAGACCAAAACAAAACTGAGGAGTGCGACGCTTAATCGTGACAAAACGATCCACTGCCAAGGCAAACGCAGAAAAAGGCATCCCGCCAGCAATGTCGCAGAGGAATCAGCACCTCACCCACGCCATGCTGTGAAAGCCGGCGGCAACAACACCCAAACAAGTCCAAACATCATGGTGCTTTGGCAAAGATTGGCAACATGCTCTTTTGCTCCACGCGGGGCTGGGGAGCTTCAATCAGCAACCCGGGATCCTTCCGTTCCGTTGGACTTGCAAAAGCGCTGCTGTTTGTTAAAACTGCGCCAGTTTTGGCAAAAACAATCACTGCAGCAATCTCATTTTCGTGGCCGTAAACACATTGGCTTTTTGGACTCCAAGAAGTGGTCCTCCCCAGTTACGTTGAAAGCTTGCTGCTCAAACAAAACCCAACTTTGATCCACTTGCGTCATGCGAAGAGCTTCGTGTCTTGAGCAGCTTGCAAGGTTCCACACTGCCAAAAATGGGATTGCCCCGCGCTACCGCTTTTCGCTTTGGACAGGGCCACAGTTGCCCTTCCGGTCGCCATAAGCCAGAAACTTTAAATTCAAACCAAAACATTGCGCTTCTTCAGCCCCGATGCGAAAAAATTGTCGAAAAATGAACCTAAACACGCACGGCTTAGGAAAAAACGAAAAGAAAAGAGTTTTCACGGCGCCATTTTTGTGGGACCGTCTGGCGGTACCAAAAAAGAGACCGCAAAATCGCAAAATCAACTGCCATTAGCCGACCCGTGCAGCAAACAACAAAAATCTCAATTGCTATTATTTAAGGAACTTGGATGTAGTTTTTTGAACGGAGGAGGCCCGCACATGCGAAGCCTGATTCCAAGCGACTTCCAGCATTAAAAATGGAACCTCGAACAAACATGTGGTATCAACTGTTTCCGTTCTCTGGCTCCACTGTTGCCAGTGCGATGCAGCACCACCCAGGCAACATTCACCAATTTGCTACTCCAAACCAATTTGCTACTCCAATTTATACATTTTTTCGATGATACGTTAATCTAATTTTAAAAACTATAGTATAATAGCGTATTTTGATTTTTGATTTTCATTTTGTGTTTTTGATATGAAAAGAGATGATATGATATGATATGATTTGATATGATATGATATGATATGATATGATATGATATATTCTCCGATATTATTCTATCTACATGTATGTTTTATTATATATATATTTTATATTTGCTGAAAATTCTATTTTGTTTCATATTATTCACGTCGCTTCGCGACGGCAACCGCCCGCACCGCATCGTTGGGCAGCCGCTCGTAACTGCCAATGATGTCGGCCATTGAGACCAAAAACATCCGAAAGTACTGATTGTCGGAAAAAAAAACGCGAAGAATTTGATAGCCATGTATAGCGGACCAATGCAGTTCAAAAAATAACGAAAAACATGAAAAAACGGCGAAATTGCTGTGATTTACAGTGTTTTTGCGCGGTGAGAAGCAGAAACCATTGCAAATGCCATGGTTTTTGAGGGTCAGGTGGCCAAAAACACTGTAATTTACAGCGTTTTTTTTTAACCAACGTCAAAAAACACTGGTATTTACGATGTTTTCATTCACACCGTAACATAAAACAGCGTAATTTACAAGGTTTCTGGAAGTTTTGGAGCTAGCCGTCAAGCATGCAGAAAACAGAAAAACACTGTAAAAACCAGTGTTTCTGCTATCACAAAACGACGAAAATCAGTCCGAAAACGGGTCCAAAAACTCAAAAATCCGCCTCCGGGCCCGGCCACCTGCGGAACCGCAAAAAAAGATGTTGCAAACCAAAAAAAAGAGGTCAAAAAGTTGAAAAACACGGGTTTTTTTCACTTTTCGCTTGCTGATTTTGGACGGGCGCGTTCACGAACAGGTGTCTTCCGTACTGTTTTTTACAGTGTTTTTTGAAGGCGAGCGTCACGACCTATCAAAAACAGGAGGTTTTTACGAGTGCCATCCGGAAGATCACGCCCCAGCACCTTCGGTGCGGGCGGATTTCATTGTATTTGATGATATTTTATTATATCATATTCTCTTATTTTGTACTAAATTATTGTTCATTTATTTTGTGTTATTGTGTATTTTTTGATCTATGGATTATATATACACATGTATGCATGGTATGCATACATGTTCATTCACATGTGCATATATGTACACACATATGTACACACACACACATCACATAAATGTGCAAATACAAGAACACATATACGTGCACATATATGCACGCTCATGTGCACACATATATGTACACATACATGTACACTGTACACATATATGTGCACACATATGTCCACATACATGTACACATATATTCAACATTTATGTATACATACATGCACTCATGCATGCATGCATGTATACGTTCAAAAACATCATATTTTCTTTAATGTATGAAAAATATTTACAAGTCCCGAGTTTTTTCCGATTTGGAGACATCAACATCTCACCACCTTCAGCAGTTGGTATCCAACCCAGGGTCTTGCAGATTTGGCCCAATCTTTCTTTGCTCCGCAAGAGCGCGCGGGTGGGCCAGCAGGTCGTACCGCCCTTAGCTGTGGCAAGAACTGCGGATAGCTGTGGCAAGAACTGCGGATTTTTTGCTCAGGAAACTGCAGGGGAGTTTGATAAACCTTTTGGGTAGTTTCCCCAAAAAATTCACGGAATTTTCCTTGATAAAAATCAGCGCGTTTCGAGAATTTATGTGATGGAACTTCTCAGGGCATTTTGAGGGAACTGCCGTTTAAGAAACTGTTGAACCTATTTTGAGGGAACTTCATTTTCTAGTAGTTTTTACAATAAGTGTAAAGGCCGGTGCTTGATCAGGGTGCTCCAGCTTGGGCGCGGCATTTTACCTCTAAAATTTTGCATGAAGTGGCTCTTGTGAAATGTCCAACTGCATCGTTGGCCTCATCATCCTCAACATCCTCAACCTCCACCTTATCTTCCGCAACATCAACATTGTCATCCTTTTCATCACCCTCCTCAACAATATCATCCTCAACAGCAACATCATCATCATCATCATCACCATCATCATCATCATCCTCCACGTTATCATACTCCACCTCCTTTTCCGAAATTTCCGCACTCTCATCCTCATCCTTATCTTCTCAACGTCATCATCCTCAACCTCATCATCCTCAACGTCATCATCCTCAACATCATCCTCCTGCACTCTACATCATCCTCCGCAACATTATCATCCTCATCGTCGTCATCAACATCATCACCATCATCATCATCATCAACAACATTATCATACATTATATCCCCCCACTCCCCCAAACTGTTTGGGGCCTCTTGCTGGGATAATTGGTTGAGAACCTCGTAGTTGGAACTTTGGTGGAGCCTTGCTTGGGAATTTGCAGGGAACATCCAAGGGATTTCTTGAGGAGACTTGCCATGAACCTGGCCGAAAAGTGATAAGTCACTCTTGTGACGCCTCGCACAATGAAATAACCCAGGGGTTCATGAATCCCGTGCCGACATAGGTAGTTAAGGTAGTTAAACATGGTGAACATTTTCAAGATGTCTTTCAGCGTGCTTCTGGGCAGGGATTGTATGACTGCTTCATCACCAAGGCGCAGACATGACTGCAAAATTGCACCTCAAAGTTGCATGTGCTACATGCCCCTCAACATGGTTGCTTCTAGAAGTAGATCTGTCGGAGCCGCGCTACGACAAACCCTTTTGTTGCATGAACTTTGAACCCTCATTCGTTGACAAAAAATACAAAAAAATGAAACTTAACTCAGCCCCGGCTTTGTATTGAACCTGGCCAGCAAGGCCGCTGAAGGCAGTTCTTTGTCGGTTCATGCCTTGGTCACCGCGCCATGTCATGCTCCAAAGCACGTGGCAGTGGACTGCGGCGCTTACTCCTTGTGTCATGCACCGGTGGTGCATGCGCTGGGCTGTGGTTCTCTTTGATGTTGGATGAGGTGGTGCATTTTGTGCAGTTGCTTGTCTTCGTTTAGGGTTTCCCAAAATAGGGGTACTCCTATTAATGATGGATGGTTGATAGATGTTTATAGGATGATTTGGGGTACCCTCATTTCAGGAAACTTCCATTTCGTAGTTCAACACTTTCTGGGTATAGATCATCAAGAATCCGGATGAGGTTGGAACTTTCGGTGACAAGAGAGGAGTTGCTACAAAAGGCTGAATCCCATTGGGTCTATGCTTGCAGTATGGTTCCATCCTGCTCAGTCATGTTTAGACTAACAACGGTATTTTTCATGATGTTTCGAAACTCACTAGATTTGTGCTGAACATCTCCCGTTCTACATGGTAGATGCTGGCCATTGCTGACATTTTGCAACCAAACTCTTGACATGCCCAGGTTCCAGTCGTTTCCATCCGTGCAGCTGGGTTTTTCCACTGCTCTGCCCGGATCCGCCCTGGGTGCCTGTGCCGCGACGCTCAGCAGCACGGCGCCGCGGCGGCTGCGCGACTTCAACACTTTGGCGGTGGCGCCGCAGGGCCTTGGGAGTGCCGTGGGCAGTGCCGCCTTCGGTGCTCGAGTGGGGCTGGCGGCCGCCTGGCACCTGTGGTGGTGGTTGGCAGCCAATGCTTCAGGGGCCATCCTGGGTGCAACGGAAGGGTCGATGGTGCTGGCGCCCGTGGTGTCATTTTCAGTGCTGGCAGCGATGATGGTTCCGGCCTTCTGGGCCCTGCTGTCGTTTGGTGCTGCTGGGCTTTTCAGTGGTGCGGTGGGAGGTGTGGTCATGGCCACCCACGGGGCCATGCCGGCAGTCATGTCGGTGGGACAAGCAAGGCTGCGCTCGGCAGTGGTGATGGGAGCTTTGGTCACTCCAGGTGTGGTAGCTGCAAGCGTGGCTTGTGGCTTGGCCCCTAATGTGCTGCAGATTTTTCCGCAGGCGGACCCTGGAAGAGATCAGATTGATTGGAGAACGAAACGTTCAAGATTTCGAGAGATGTAGTCTTGGGCATGAACCCCACAAGGACAGTTCTGCTGCTCGCCCCCTTTTGAGTGGGGCCAATGAGAGAGCTTGCTGGAAAATCTGAGTCAGGGTACAGGGTAGGGTGGGTGCAGATCCCCTCATTGCCAGCAACATCCTGTGACAGATGCTTGACCAGAGGGCTTGATGAGCAGCCAAAAGCTGCAAGAATCATTGTTCATTATGATTATAACAGTTTTTTAATTTTACAGTTCCTGCCACCGGAAGGAGAGACACATACAATACAGATACAGATACACAATTTCTTAATATTTGGATGGTGATGCTTTTATCTCTTCTTTTGTTGGACATCTATGTTGACCAACCACTACTTGGGGACCAACCCAAGTCGTTGCCACCTTTCCCAGGTCCAACGGCAGATGAAGTCACCAACGCTGGGACCTCGCGGAGTGCCATGGAAAGTGCAGATTTTCAACAGCTTGGAAGGCCTCTTCGTTATCTTAACGGAAAATAGTGATAAAATGTTAGATAACATTAGTTATCTGAATTATCACATCCGGTAGCAGGCTATGATCATTTGGTTGTTCGTCGATAGTTAATGGAAGTCACAGTCAACACCCACCTACAACAGTACCTCCTGAGGTCAGCGAGGGCGGGGATGCCTAGTTTTGAAAGGTGCTTCTATGGCATCCAAATGTCACTACTGTAGATCCTTGTTTGGAATGGTTTACTGATTTACCGTTCTGATTTTTGATCCCGTTTCTTTTTTGGGAATGATGAAGCAATCTCAAATGTCGTAGAGAAGATGGAGACATCATACGACGCAGCTTGCAGCAGAAATACCTATTGAGGGCTACCCATGCATCAGTCCACACACATGTATATTTATATATATATATACTTATATATATAGTAATAGTACCAACATGTACGAACTATATCTCACCATGGCATCATTATTCACAATCCTGACAATCCTGTGCTTTTCCTTTCTGTTGGTTGAGGGTTACGATCAGCTCCTTCCAACGATGGCCCTCTCTTACTTCCAAGTGGATCAACTCCAATCGGAAATCCGAGAGGTATGGGAACCAATTTTAGGGTTACAAACCAAAACTCCATCAAATTCCAACAGCCAAATTTGGTCAGCCTATCACCATTCTTCGGGGATTTACAAAAAGCACACAATTTTTGGTAGGTATTTGACGCGCCAATTTTGGCCGATAGGTTCAACCATTTATGTATGTATATATATATATATCTATCTATATGTCTCTACACACACAGATATATATATATACATAACACACAGATATGTGTATATATATATATATATGTATATTTATAAATACGATGCAGAATTATATATATATATATATCAGCCTATCTCCCGCTCTCTCTCTCTATATTATAGGGTCAAGTCCCCATTTCTGATGGTTCAGCCTATCATCTTTGGCCCATGCCATGGCACGGGCGCTTCACATCCCCGGGTAGAGACCTCAGGTGCTGGAAAACCATGGAGGTCTATGGTTTGTTTGCACAAAATGCAAAATTCCGTATTTGGGGATGGGCCAAAATCTATGAAATTACCATGTTATTACCATATTTGGGAGACCATCCACATTTCTTGTCTGGTTTTTTTCCACTTGCGATACAAACAAATTATATGACTGTTCTTTTCCATCGATCCCCTTATCTTCAGCCAATTTTCTTAGATTTTGCTTGAGTTTCATTGGGTCCGTCGAGGTATGGGACAAAACCAGTTCTTGTCATGTGTGTTTTCATGATGAAACATCGAATTCTTGGGATGCCCAGGCTGGGCCGATGTCCATTCTTTTAAAGACCATCCTGATGTGCAAGCCATAATGAACCTCTCTGACCTGTTTGACTTTGGGGGGTATCATTTTGGGGAAGTCTTCCTTATTCCAGGTAAGCTCCCTAGTCAACTATTTCTCAGACCGGTGTTAACACTATTGTTCGATCATGTTTGATATGGGGTTGTTTCCAAGCTCAGGAACTCCAAAATCCCCATGGGTTCTCCATCGATTTTCCCCATTAACAAATGGGTCATCAAGGGGCCATAACCATCAATCAGCGATCGATCTGACAAGGCCGGAAGACTTACCACGTGGTCATGCGATGACGCCCATGGAGGTCTACAAGCTCGAGTCCGCCAAATGAACCTTGGAAGCAGTGGATGTTGCCGTGGTTGAGATGTGCACAAGGGCTTGATTTTGTGAACCATTGTTGAAAGCACAAACGGATTGGTCGTTCTTTGTGGTAAAGCATTGTCTGGAAGGTACATTTTACATCATGCTTGGTTATCTTGGTTTCTATTTTCCTTTTTGGGCTTTTAAACTAGCCATGTCATTATGAGATGTGTTTGCGAAGTCGGTTGGCTTTGGTCATTCAGAGTCGAGCTTACTTCACCCCCGCGATTTTTCAACGGAGGCCTTTCCGATGACCCGCTCTGCGAGAAGGTGAAGCACTGCATGGACCAGGCGGCGTTGGCCTCCTTGAGCGCCTCTGTGTCGGCCAAAGGCGCCGCGCCTCTGCAGTCCTGGGCAGGTGGGCCCTCACAAGGTGGCCAGGTGTCCCAAATTTCTCCAAATTTCCTTGAGAACGAGTGTGGACCGAACCGACCGATCGATGTCATATTGTTATAAGAAACTGATTTCATTGGGATTGTTATGGTGATAACGGAGTTGATCGGCTTGAAGATCCAAAAAAATCCTGCGAGTTTCAGCACCAAACACGGCGCTCGGATGGTCACAGGGACCCCCTTTGAGGGAAAGCCCCTCGTCTGTGACGCGGAAATCTTCCTCATCTGTGACGCGGACGCGTTTCCTCAACTGTGACGCGGTCCCTCTGTTCTGACGCGAGGTGGGGTGTTGCGTGGCAGGCGTGGCACTTTGTGCCATCGATGGTCTCCTTGTGTGGCGCGTGTTGGGCTTGGTGACATCGACTTTGCCTTTCTTTGGTTGTTTCAAAGCGGGCTTGCCTAGTTGTTCTGCTCCTTTTTCCCGTGACTCTGATTCTGTGCTCCTTCTCTGTCTGGTGGTCCGTTTGGCCCGCTCAGCTGCCCAAGTCCATCAAAACGGACCTTCCTAGCTCGTCTGCTCTTCATCTGCTTAGCTGTGCTCCTTGCTCTTTCTGGCTGTCCGTTTTGGCCGCTCAGCGGCCCAAATCCGTCAAAACGGACTTCCCCAGCTCTCCCAGTCCTGGTTTGCTTGGCGGTGCTCCTTGCTGTGTCTGGTGGCCCGCCTTGGTAAGAGAGCCGCCGAAATGCTTCAAAGCGGGCTTGCCCAGCTGTTCTTTTGTTTTGTGTCCTCCTTTCTCCTGTGGCTGTGCTTCTGTGCTCCTTTCTCTCTCTGGTACTCCGTTTTGTCCGCTGAGCGGCCCAAATCCTCCAAAACGGACCGCCCCAGCTTCCACTCTTCGTCTGCTCGCCTGCGCTCCTTGCTCTGTCGTGTGGTCCGTTTTGGCCTCTTAGCGGCCCAAATCCTTCAAAACGGACCTCCCCAGGTCTTCCACGCATTATAACGTCCATGTCCCTCTACACACACAGGCACGACAACCTCATCACACGAGAGCTGGCGGTGGGTCTCTGTCCCTTTCTCTCCCTGGTGGTCCGTTTTGGCCGCTCAGCAACCCAAATCCTCCAAAACGGACCTCGCCAGCTTGGTCAGCTTGGCTGTGCTCCTTGCTCTCCCTCTGGTGGTTCGTTTTGGCCGCTCAGCAGCCCAAATCCTACGGACCTCGCCAGCTTGGTCAGGTTGGCTGTGCTCCTTGCTCTCCCTCTGGTGGCCCGTTTTGGCCGCTCAGCAGCTTTTGGCCGCTCAGAAGCGCAAATCCTCCAAAACGGACCTCGCCAGGTTGGTCAGCTTGATGTGCTCCTTGCTTTTCCTCTGGTGGTCCGTTTTGGACACTCAGCAGCCCAAATCCTCCAAAACGGACCTCGCCAGCTTGGTCAGCTTGGCTGTGCTCCTTGCTCTCCCTCTGGTGGTCCGTTTTGCCCGCCCAGCAGCCCAAATCCTTCAAAACGGACCTCGCCAGCTCGGTCCGCTTGGCTGTGCTCCTTGCTCTCCCTCTGGTGGTCCTTTTTGGCCGCTCAGCAGCCTAAATCCTTCAAAACCGACCCCCAACTCTTCCATTGGTTGCAGGTGCAGGGGAGGGTTGAACTTACAATCTTCAGGTTAAGAGCCTTGTCCTCTGCCGACTGAGCTAGACATCCCTGCCATATAGGACATGATCTGCAAATTTTGGCAGAAAAAAGGTGTATCCAGACAGGATCTCACAGAAAGCCACAAGCAGACAGCCAGGAAGAGAGAGAGCAGACACAGGTACAACCTCTGTGTCCAGAGAGGTCGGTGAAAAAGTCGAAGGTCTCTGTCCCTGTCTCTCCCTGGTGCTCCGTTTTGTCCGCTGAGCGGCCCACATCCTCCAAAACGGACCTCGCCAGCTTGGTCTGCTTGGCTGTTTTGGCCGCTCAGCAGCCTAAATGCTCCAAAGCAGACCTCGCCAGCTTGGTCAGGTTGGCTGTGCTCCTTGCTCTCCCTCTGGTGAAGCGCAAATCCTCCAAAACGGACTCCTGGGGGAGAGCACAGCCAAGCAGACCAAGCTGGTTTTGGAGGATTTGGGCTGCTGAGCGGCCAAAACGGACCACCAGGGAGAGAAAGGGCAGAGACTCACCGCCAGCTCTCGTGTGATGAGGTTGCCCTGCCTGTGTGCGCACAGGAACATGGACGTTATCATCCCACCCCTTCACCCCACCCCACCCCCCACCCAGTGGAAGAGCTGGGTAGGTCCGTTTTGGAGGATTTGGGCTGCTGAGCGGCCAAAACGGGCCACCAGGGAGAGAAAGGGGCAGAGACTCACCGCCAGCTCTCGTGTGATGAGGTTGCCGTGCCTGTGTGCGCACAGGAACATGGACGTTATTATCCAACCCCCTCACCCCCCCCCCCCCCCCCCCCCCCCCCCCCCCCCCCCCACCGAGTGGAAAAGCTGGGTAGGTCCGTTTTGGAGGATTTGAGCTGCTGAGAGGCCAAAGAGCAAGGAGCACAGCCAACCTGACCAAGCTGGCGAGGTCCGTTTTGGAGGAATTGAGCTGCTGAGCGGCCAAAACGGACCACCAGAGGGAGAGCAAGGAGCACAGCCAAGCTGACCAAGCTGGCGAGGTCCGTTTTGGAGGATTTGGGCTGCTGAGCGGCGAAAACGGACCACCAGAGGGAGAGCAAGGAGCACAGCCAAGCTGACCAAGCTGGCGAGGTCCTGCTGAGCGGCCAAAACGGACCACCAGGAGGGAGAGCAAGGAGCACAGCCAAGCTGACCAAGCTGGCGGGGTCCGTTTTGGAGGATTTGGGCTGCTGAGCGGCCAAAACGGACCACCAGGGAGAGAAAGGGGCGGAGACTCACCGCCAGCTCTCGTGTGATGAGGTTGCCGTGCCTGTGTGCGCACAGGAACATGGACGTTATCATCCCACCCCACCCCCCACCCCACCCCCACCGAGTGGAAGAGCTGGGTAGGTCCGTTTTGGAGGATTTGGGCTGCTGAGCGGCCAAAACGGACCACCAGGGAGAGAAAGGGACAGAGACCCACCGCCAGCTCTCGTGTGATGAGGTTGCCGTGCCTGTGTGCGCACAGGAACATGGACGTTATCATCCCACCCCACCCCACCCCACCCCAACCCCCAACCCCACCCCCCACCCCACCCCACCGAGTGGAAGAGCTGGGTAGGTCCGTTTTGGAGGATTTGGGCTGCTGAGCGGCTAAAACGGACCACCAGGGAGAGAAAGGGGCAGAGACCACCGCCAGCTCTCGTGTGATGAGGTTGCCGTGCCTGTGTGCGCACAGGAACATGGACGTTATCATCCCACCCCACCCCACCTCCCACCCCACCACCCCACCCCACCCACCCTAAAACCAGATGGTGTCGCAGATGAGGGGAAAATGGTGTCGCAGATGAGGGAAAATCAGGGGGGTTTTGGTGTCACAGATGAGGGGGATTTGGTGTCACAGATGAGGGGCTTACCCCCTTGGAGGACCAACCCATTGAGCCCCCAACCGACGAGGCTCAGCGTTAGGAGCGGCTCCCAAGACGCGGCTCGGGAAGATGTTCCTGGGCTGGGTCCTCCGGGATTGAAACCAGCAGAAAAAGGCGTTTTTCACCTGTGGAAAAGGGGGATGTCATTGATAAATGATGGATGATGTATGTTGATTGATGATTATGGGATCTTATAGGGGGATGCACTACCCGATATGAATCGGCGGTTGGTCATAACCAAGAAGTAGGGGAATCCCTCGCAACCAACCAGTGTAAATGGGGCTTTCTTAGGCATGGGGAACCTTGAACCCATTCGTTTGCCCTTGAAAACCAGTTTGAGAAAATGCCACGATTCGTTTGGGGTGCAGCCGGTTTCCGCGCCAAGCTGGTGACCTTGGTGGGGACGGATTGGCCAAGAGCGCATAACACAGTGGGACATTCTGTGGGAGATCGGTGCAGACAGACCATGAATTGCAATTCCCATGAATTCCAACCAAACATAGAATTCCATGGATTCAGGAATCAGACGCTAACCTTTCCATGGCCATGCCTTCACCTGGGAGATTTCACCAACCATTTCTCGCTGAGGAAGGCCTCCATGGAGTCCTTGCTGGGAGCGGCTCAGCTGATGTTTAGCTTTGAAAGATGGATTTAAAACATGTTAAGACATGTTGGGAAACAAAAATATAAAACAGGGAACATGTTAGGAACATCTTGTTTCACTTTTCAGGGTGCATTTTTCAAACAGACTTTTGGACACATGGACATGGACCCGACCCCTCCAAAATCACGTCCGGAGAGTTACTTTTTCTTTGCACCTCCATTCCAAGCAATAGTTGGGTAACTAGTAATGGCCATTTTGGTTGGTTAGATCATGTGACTTTCGCAGTTGTTGGTTGGAACCAAGGTCCGCTGGCACAGTGCCGGCGAAGACCGCCGCAGAGGCCCTTCGGTCGGGAGGAGCTTCCTATGACGTGAGTTGAAGGCGCTGACTGTGCCTTGGGTCCCACAGTCACAGTCAAACAGAGCTGTTTTTGGGGAAGGGTAAGGAACAATGCATAGTAATATTGATGATAAATGGGAACTGTAGGGTTAAAATGTGGTTTACTGTATATAAATATCATGCTTCCCTTATGCTAGATCAACCAAGTGACTAAGCTGACTGAAGGGTTTATAAGGTGTTCGGGAGGGAGGGTTCGGGACCGGCCAAACCCAGCCGTGAAGAAATAACTGGCAGGGGCAGGGAGTGGCTCTGGGCTGATGCAGGCTGGAAGTGATGTGTAGATTCAACCCCAGGTTCATCAACCCTACTGTCCCTAGCTTCCCTTGCAGCTAAGGTGCGCTTTCCTGCCACTCGCCTCAACGTGGATCAACGTGGACGTGCACACGCAGGCCGCGTTTGGGTTGTGATTGCGCACTATCAACGAGCAAATCAGCCTGATGTGCCTCTTCAAATGCTTGTATGTTTGTGTGTAATCGTGGTTGTAATATGTGGTAATGAAAAGGAATGTTACCCACAGATATCCACAATGCCTTTGACAGTGCTTGGGAGCTAGGAGATATCTTCACATCCTTTGTGTTATTTCAGTGCAACTGTATTCAGGTCAAAGGAACCGCCATTTGAGACCCCGACATGGGATAGGAGTAGGATTTGATTTAACTGCATCATGATGTATCCACTAAACTCGGAAATACCAAAAATCAGCAAACACATCTGGTGGAGTGCCATGTCTTCCACTGGAGGCTGAGCAAGTTCGGGCGGAGGGCGCTACAAGTCGACCCGGGCGTGTGCGAAAAAATTGCATCCGCATGCCGCGAGGGATGCAGATCTACTGAAAATCGATCTTTATGGATCTAAAGTTGGGGATCTTGGCATTTTATGCCAAGGTTATGCCAAGGTTATGCCAAGGTTTAAATCGCTGTCATTCTGCGCCAAACTGGGTGGATCCTGGCCCCAGGGCCGAAGTGGACTGGGCCTGGTGGCGCTGGCCTTCTTCGGTGCCGTCGTGGCGTCCCCAGTGAAAGAATGCCAGGAATACTTTCCTTAACAGAATCGTCGTGTAATGATGTAATGATGTTACAAAATTCCATCATTTACAATTATGACCATCAAAATTCCATGTAATTTTATTCCTTAGGTCCTTAACATGTTTTTTTTTTGTGGGGGATGTGTTTGTCTATGGTTAAAATGGCTTGAACTTGAGGGGGTGATCGGATGAACTCTTCAAAGCTGCCCCAATTTTGTTGGAAGTTCATATGCCCTGTGGTTGAAAGAAATCATAATCCATCCCCAAAATCACCATAAATGGGTGATATAAACCATCAAACATGGGGTGGTTTATTATTGTTTTAACCCCATTAGTTCTATTTCCTGCTTGACCATGCCTTAGGCCCCCCTTTTGATGAATGCATCGACCCATTCTTGCTGCTTACTGGCCAGTTGAAGCACCCTAGGCTTCTAGAAGCTTCGTGGTGGCACCTGTGCCTGAGCATCAACCCAGCTCCCGAAGAGGCAAGATCTCTTTGAATTGGAAGGCCAAGATGGAAAAATGGACATGGTGGGAAGAAATCAATACTAATGTGGTTAAAACAATAATAAACCACCCATTTGGGAATGGTTTATACCACCTATTTATGGGGATTTGGGGGATGATTTATTATTGTTTTATTATGTTTTATTAACATTAATCTACTAATCATCGCATCATCTCATGGAATGATTTGCGCATCACCATTAGTATGTTGAATTCGGACAGAATTCTCAACCATGAAGCGTCGCAACGACATTAGCTACCTCAAGGGGCCGAGGAGAAACCAGGAGAACGAAGTGGATGTATACCCTCTGGCTGTGCAGCCTGATCATTGATAATCCCCAACTTTGTGGATTCTCAATGTATATATATTTATACATACACATTTATATATATATATATATTTTACACACACACACATATATACATATATTATACATATATATGCATTATACATTTATATATATACATATATATATATATATTATACATTTATATGTAGAATATATATTTATGTGTGTGTTTTTAAAATCCAAATGTCCATAGCAATTGTGAAATTTCCTGTCTTTTTAAGGACTGCCTTGGATACCAAACACCTTTTCTTTATGGGGAAAAAGGGAAAGAGGTTTGAAGCAAAACGCAAGGCGTTTTGGGAGCTTTGGTTGCGCTTCCCGTGAGCTTGGCCGCTGCCACTGGGCTATTTGCTGATTCGTAATCTGACAACAACAGTTTTGGATCAATTTACTGGTTTTCTGGGGAAGGCATGTTTGGCAACGTTCTGGCAGCTGTCCCATCCACTTACAGATCCGTCTCTAGAGTCTTCAGTCTTCCAATGATGCGTTGTGCACCCCGAGGCGCCAGCCTTCGCAGCGGCGGGTGCGACCCTGGCCTCGAAATTGGAGGTGGACTTGATGGATTGTCCTTTAACTTTTGATGGAGTTTAGATGGAGTTTTGACGTTTTTTTAATTGACACCCATGAGACATCCATTTAAACATGAGGTTCTATCACGATGATTGTCGGCTTTATGACCATATGCTTGCCAAACCCCATTATTGTGGCGCAATTTCATGGCTTGAATCCCTAATACTTACCAGTCAACTTCCCATTTTCAATTGGTGCTGGTTATCTATCGATCTATCTACCTATCCTATCCAAGCCTATTGTATCGTACAGTATCGAATCGAATCAAACCTTAATCTAATCTAATCTAATCTTATCTTATCTTGTCCATTGTATTGAGTATCCTATCGTATCCTATCGTATCCTATCGTATGCTATCCTAACCTATCCTAACCTATCCTAACCTATTCTATCTATCCTATCTGTCCTATCTATCCTATCTATCCTATCTATCCTATCTACTGTATCCTAACTATCTATCCTTTCTATCTTATCTATCCTATCTACTGTATCCCAACTATCTATCCTATCTATCCTATCCATCCTATCCATCCTATCTATCCTATCTATCCTATCTACTGTATCCTAACTATCTATCTATCTAATCTAATCTAATCTAATCTTATCTTATCTAATCTACATAATCTAATCTAATCTAATCAATCTAATCTAATCTAATCTAATCTAATCTATCTATCGTATCTATCCTATCTATCCTATCTATCCTATCTATCCTATCTATCCTATCTATCCTATCTATCCTATCTATCATATCTATCCTATCTATCCTATCTATCCTATCTACTGTATCCTAACTATCTACTGTATCCTAACTATCTACTGTATCCTAACTATCTACTGTATCCTAACTATCTACTGTATCCTAACTATCTACTGTATCCTAACTATCTATCTATCTATCTATCTATCTATGTATCTATCTATCTATCTATCTATCTCTCTATCTATCTATCTATCTCACTCACATATATCTATCTACATTTCCCGATTTTCTTTTATTGTGTTCACATTTGTTTCTTTGTCAAACCACTGCAACAACTTTTTTCCATCGCATTTTTGCTGTTCCAGCATGCGGATTTAATCAACAAGGAAATCAATTACTTATCATATCATAACCATGTATGTATCTGGATTGTCAATATTGTCGCGTCAATTGTTGTTACACTAATCACTATTGAAATCCCCACTTTAACCGCTGTATCCCCTTGCTGTCAGTTCGGCAAGCGCCACGGCGTGGCCAGGTGTCAGGCATTGGTGGCCCACGAGGGAAGCAACTCAATGGCTCTGCAGCTCAGATATTCCATGCTTTGTAAAGTGGAAAATCACCATTTCGAATAGGTAAATCATCATAAATCATCTATAATAATATATGGGATTTTCCATTGCGATATTAAAATACTGGGGGTTATATATATATATGTATGACAGAGATTCTATATGTAACCGTATGTCTATTGTATTTTACTCATGTATCTATATGTGATAGTTTCTGATTCATATATAGCATACAGCATACAGACATATTTCAGCACATCTTCATAGTATATTTGTTGCTGAACACTATATCGTGTATGTGTTCCTATCTCAAATGGATCCAGAAACAGAAGCCTCACTGCATGCATGCCCGAAACATGAGATGCTGGAAGATCTGACATTCTTGAACCCCACAATCGCATACGAGTGATCAAAATTGGATGCTTTATACATTATAACCATACTAATTACACAATACAAACTTGATCTCAAAGTTCGATGGCTAATCTTTGTTTTGTAGTTCACACATATATTTGATACTCATATCAATAATGATTAGCCAGATTTAATAGTATTAATGATTTACTCACACATATATTGGCTATATATTGTAGTTTTCATATCACATTAATTTTAGTGATTTACAACACATCGCAATCATATAATCCACCTGGTGGGTCATCGAGGCCTGTGGGACATCGTGGAGGGAAAGCGAGCTTGGAACCCAGCTGGTGCTTTGATGATATTAAAAAAAGGAAGGGTCAAAATGATATGAGGATACCTTACTTTTCCATACTTCTAGCTTTTTGAGCTTACTATGTATTATAGTGTATATATATACATACACATGTACATGTTTCTTTTTTCTCCTTTTATTTACCATTCGTACTCCCAATGTTTGGGATATATCGAACATTAATAGTTCGAACATGAGGATGATACTCCCAAATGATCAGTCAGTGCCACTAGCAACTTGGTTGCGGCGAATCCCACGCTGATTGAAACGGTACGACTTGACGGAAAACGGTGCTTCCGTGCTAAGATTAACGAGCGCGCGGTGTACAAGAAGGCAAGCCACTTGGGCGGCCGGTGCTTCAACTGGGCGTAAGTTGAAAACTGGAGGTTGCCACAGATATTGTCAGTAGCTTGGTGGTTTTTTCGACTCCCAATTTTTTGGACACATCCCAATTGAAATACACTTCGGGGTTTCTTAAAATAGGGGATCCCCAAAACCATGTGGAAACCTCCACTTTTTTCGGTGGTGGAAGTGTAGAATGAACCTGTCATCAACTAGCTGAGTGCGGCTTGTCAGGGTGACCAGGAGCTGTACCTTATGTTCAACAACTGCGAGCAGTTTCAGTCTGCCTGCCGGTGTTGGGTGCCCCCATAGAGTTGGAGACAGCGAGAGGCTAACAACCCTGGGGCACATTGCAACCTTTAATAGAGTAAAGTCATCTACAAATCAGTGACACTTTCCTTTATTTTGATCACAGAATTTCAATTGGCAAGTTCGAGCACCACAAGGTAGCTGGCGCAAGAACATGCTGCAGTCAGGCTCACAAACCCAAAACGTTGTGATATCAGCTCTCATTATGGCCATATACCAACTTATCAAGTGGACTTGCTGGTCCAACCACAATGTTTTCTGGTCATCCCAATTTTTGCTGGTCAAATGTCAAACTCACACATTTTCCACATCGTTTGGTGATCTTATACGTACAGCTATCGAAAATTGCCCATTTATAGATGATTTACGTATTAGAAATGGTGATTTTTCATAGCTACGTTAAATTACCAGAGGGTATCATGATCTTTTGGTTGGGTAAATCAGTTAAATCCCATTAAATCACATCAAATCCTATCAAATTAAATCCCATGAAATATCTTGATTAACCATGAAATCAGTCAAGTTGGTTAAATCCCATTAAATCTTATTAAATCCCATGAAATATCCCTATAGTCAGACTATAGTTGGTTAACCACCATCCCAGCCGTGGATCTTCGCCAGGATCTCCACCAAGCCGTCGGGCGAGTGCAACGGCTTTGCGCAGGAGACCCTTAGCGAAAGAATCCGAAAGAACTGGAGGACGCCGTAGGTTGATCAATGGGAATTTCAGGATCCTAAAATGGAGGTACCTACCATATATAAGGCCTATATAAGGCCTATGTAAGTGAATATCACCAGAAAATATGGTCTGACTATGGAATTCCCATTGAGTTGAGAATGGCAAATGATACCCTTCGGTGTCAAAGATAGCGATTTCTGGGAATGCCCTATCAAACATGGCTGGGAAACCATCGAACTAGATTCTGGATAACGGATTTTCCACTGCCCCTATCTACTAGGGCAATTTAAACCTAAAAATCGTCTCAAAATTTGGAATAGCTTGCCGAGTAAAATATCATGAAACTTGGGAAATTATGGTTCATGATTTAGTTTTGCATTTCGCTGTACGTGTTTCTCGCCTTGGTTGGTTTATGATGCTTATGGAGGGCAGACGTTCACCTTGACTTAAACAAGCAATGGGTAAATGATGGTAAATGAATGACACAGAGAGAGAGAGAGAGACACACACACACACACGCTCACACACACACATATACACATACATGTATTTGTTCAAAGATTGGCCCCCTACACTATGCAAAACATGGAATGATTGAAAAGTCAATGAACTGGAAAACCAGGAAACGCATCTTATTTTCCTACCCGAGTGCGGGGGTTTCCTGGGAAAACACCCTTAAAAATCTGACAAACATGTGTACGAAAGGGCATTAGCCCAGGTAATTTCAATTATATAATTTCACCTGGCAATGAACAATCCCTGTTTGGAAGAAGTTAAACCATGAACCATTTGGGTATGGGTCAAAATTAGGTAGCCCAATTAAATTGAATGGTTTTCATACTAAACTAGACATTTCCATCTGTGGTCCCATTAATGGTCTTCCATTTTGACCCACATAATAAAAAATCAATATTTCAGATGATTATTACAGATAATTATAGTAACAAGATTGATTAATGATCAGTAATATTTACGACTCTAATTATTTTCATCCGTTTTTTTTTTGGTGATTTTAACGCCATGGCCATGCCATGGCCATGCTAAGGACTAAGGGCGCCTGGACCATGGATGGCGAGAAGTCCTCCCTGAAGATCAAACCAGTAAGATCGAAGGAAGAACAGGACGGCTGGGAGCCGTGGATGTGCATAGCAGATGATAACATCCTTGGTGAACCGTCCCATAGCTGATGGGAAAATCACCATTTTTAATGGGAAAATCATGGAAAATCCACTATAAATCCACTATTTCTATGGCCATTTTCTATAGTTATGGGACAGTTCACCAGAGGGTAACAACATTGGTGTCTATAATCATGAGGTGATTCTATCTTTCCGAAGGCCCGGCAAAATCAGAGGCGATACCCGACACCGATACCCTTTTGATGGCCGAATCTGAAATACGTCATAAAATGATGTACATTCTGCAAGAAATCCGACATTCAATTATTCAAGCATGAAATTTGTCATAGATGATCTACTGTAATAGATATGTCAGCTGATGACAAACAAGATAGCTACGTTGGTAATGTAGCAAGTGTGCATAGTTTTGGAGCATTTGACGTAGTAGAAACCAATAGTAAAAAACAATCAAAGTAGTATGATGTTAGCATTCACACAATCAAACTTTCCATCAGTAGACTGAAAACAATGCCAAATTCGTAATTGATAACCTTGATTTAGAGCCAGAACAATCCTTAGCTATCAAAGATCATACATAGTATAAGTTCTTTTTGAATCTGCTAAGTGCAGGATAGCGTTTTGATAGTTTTTAAAGCCTGATCTCAACTACATACAGCACAAATATCTATCTTTACTTATGACACCCGGGGTCGCATCCTGAAACTTATGCGGGAAGCATCAGACGCAGCAGGGCAGCGTAGCTCAGTCAAATATGGTTTGGGGTGAAAATTGGAGCCAGACATGAAGATGCTCCATCACATGAAAAGTATTAAACAACCCATATAATACAAATACATAACCCGCAAAGAAAGCCAATGTGGTTGAACACCCTACAGTAATACGCCAGATGAATAATGAAACAGCTGGCTGATAGATATAAATGAATACTACTATACTACTACATTAGTAGCAAAGAACCATCATCCCTTCCCCCCAATATGAAATAGCACCCTAGGAAACCCTGGGCGGTATATTGGATCTGTTCGTGACTTGGGGATTTTTAGGGGGATAGCCACTTGGGCGCGCCAGGCTCAACAGCCTAAGCCCAAGGCGCCCAAGGGCCCTTCGCTGTCCTTCAGCCTGCCGGGTGTGCCGAAGCTGGCCGAGGGATCGGCAGCTTGGACCTCTCCTTGGACCAACAAACTAATGAATAACTACAGGATGGGGCCTCCAAGATAGCTAAGTTGCCTTATAAGTGGCTTAACTATGGTTTATGGTAGATGTAACTATAGTTAATGGGGGTTATAATGGTTATAAACCAACTTATAACTGGGGGGGGCCCATCCTCTATTGAGGCTATAACAACTGTGACTACAAGGTGGGACCCCCCCAGCTATAAGTTTTTCCCCCCATGAACTATAGATACTACAGTTATATCCCGCGAACCAAGCCCAGTTCATGGTTCAAACCATAAACCAACTTCGCCAAGTAGGGGGTGACTGAGGCTGAAGAGGATGACTCCGGATTCAATGTGGCTCAGCTCAGCTCAGGGCTGGAGAAAACACCCGAAAATTGAAATTGAACTGGTTACAACACCGGAAAATGACGAGCAACCTGTTTTTTTTCGGTACCTGAGTTTCAGACCAATCTTCGTGGCCTTGTGGCCAAAAAGCTGGTGTTTCCAAACGATGGGAATCCCACGGTAAATAGCTTCTCAAACACCCAATCACCCAATCCTTCTTGAACCCTCCATTTGAGCCATGATCAAGCGGTTGGATATGGGGATGGGTCCACTCAATGACTGTTGAACCATAGGCATGGGAGGATGAACCTTTGTTGCCCGGTAGTCGTTCACCAATGCGTGTGTCCAGCGACAGGATCTCCGAGGAGTCTGTAGAGGTTGTTTCATGACACGCCCCCCATGGTTTCGGTGTCTTGACAATGGCACATGAATCCAACCAGATGCCAACGTATGATGTGTGCTACTCAACTCCTTACCGTTGTTGTGGCCCGTATGCCTGATTTGACAACGAGATGGATCATCGCAAGTTATGCAGGTGGCGGCTTGGTACCCCCAACCAATTCATCAACAAATACTGTAGTCAATAGAGATCCACTGATCCACATTCCATGATTCCATGATATCCCACGAGCTCTTAGCATTAAGCATTGCACCCTGCAGGTGGAGGAATACTTGCAGTCTAAGGGCTCCAAGCAGGGCTTGGGCACCGGTTTCAGCGTGCGCCCAGGGGTCTGCCGTGGCAAGTTGTGAACAAATTGTTCTTAGAAATTCTTGGATTGGTTGATGTACGATTTTCTGGTCAAAGCTTTCTTTTTGTTGTTTGATCTCCCATGTGGTTGTGTCCAAAGGCCATTTCTTGCGAGTGATCTTTGGGCCGGATGATTTTCGTGGCTAGTCCATCGTGGTTTCCGTTGTCGTCTCAGTCCTCCAGCGGAGCGCTGGCGAGTTTCTTCACCATGGAGGAAGATGAGCTCGGCAGCTCAGTTCTGGACGACCGAACATTCCACTGGAAAACGTGGGAGTAATGAAGAAAACAGACGGGGGAGTGATGTTTTCTCACAGCCCCTAAATTTAAGACAGAACCCCAAAATGCGAGAATGATCCCCGTAAATTTAAGATGGAAACCTAAATGCTCTCCAATTCCCCCTGGTGATATCGTAACTGCTGGCAAAACTGTTTCGGATCTCCATTGGCCATTAGTCTTCGCTCTCAATTGCAGAATAGTTTATTTTTCCGCCTCTATAGGCTGTAGTCATTTCATTCTTACAATTTTATTTCTTAATGCTTAAACCTCCTCAACTTCTGTTTTTCAGGGTTGGTTGAAGGGAAATTTACAGGGAACCATATGTGCGTGGTAAAAGCCATGGTTTCAACCATAACATATCCCTTGAACCAATCCATGGATTGCCGACATCGCAGGCAGAAGATTGCTGACAGCCTTGAATCGAAGCTCAGTGGCCGTATGACGGGCTTGACCAAGAAGCGATGAACCTCGAACGAAGCGCGGCCGTGCGGCCGATGATTTTCCGAATATTCGACATTTGAAGTGGCAAAAGCCCGAAATTTGAGTGGAGAGCAGCTGAATTGTCATACTTCAAATCACCATTGACCCATGATCTTCAGATTTACATGGGTTTTTGCGACGGCTCATTTGAAGTGGCAGGTTGATCTGCCCCGCGGGGGCAGCGATCGCCGGGAGTCAACCCAATATCTCTTAGAATAAAAGGCGCTTGGAGTTCGCAGACTTGGTTTGAGGGAACAGTTGCAGGAAACTCACAGGTTTGATGGCAAAAAATATAATTTTCCGGATTTTTGGGTAGATTTCCCCTGAAACTAAGCCAGTGGCGCCAAACATATTCCAGACTGAATGGGCCTAGATGCTTAACTTGGAGGGAGCCAGGGCTGTGCATGAGGCCACTTGCATCACTTTTTCCTGATTGACCTCGTGGCTCGAGGGGGTGTTTCACTGGCGAGCCCGAGGGGCAGCAGCTCAAAGGGTCAGATGCCGAACATAGAAGTCCACAAGTAGATGGCAAAGGTGATCCCGACTGTTTAACCAGCACTCTTTCATGTCTTTCCTACCTAAATTTGTGGGTATCCAAGATGCATAAGTCTAGATTGCGGAGATCCAATGGATGCGTTGGTTCATTAGGTACAACATGGTACAACTGCAGGAAACTATCCTTCCTAAACCTGAGCTCAACATTTCCAGGGGTCATTGGAGATTCACCATGAATCCCGCTCTGTCAAAGCGGATCACCATGAGCAGCATCAGGCGCGGTGGCAGCATGGAATGTTGGCCATTTCACACGTTGTGTCGGGTTGGGAGCAGTCTTGAAGCATCCTCTGAGCTGAATCAATTCGCCTTTCGCCGCACGCTGTTGCTGAACGTGTGGTTGGATATTGTTGGATTCATGATCTCATTCCACCATGCAGTATACATGTTTCTGGCGGATGTTTCACATGTCAAGCCCTGCAGCTGTTTGAGCATTCAAGTGCAGCCAGCTACCTGATTTATTGATCTTGGAGATCTTTGAGGATGCGGTGGCTGTGGCAGAGGAGGTTTGCGTTGCCTCCGTTGTGTTTGACTCTGGGTATTGGAAGTTTGGCCAGCCTTTATGTTTGGCTAGCAGCTTGGGATTTGCTGAAGATTGGGATTTGGCTGCTGCTATTTACGATGTTTGCTTGGTCTTTGCTGAAGACAGTCACCACACATCCCGGGACCACACCAGATGTCTTTCAAGTTGAAGGAGAATCAGGAGGAGAGTCAGCATTCTACGCATACAAGACCAAGAAAACGGGCGAAGTAAGAGTGTGCAAATGGTGCAAGAAGTTGAAGCCGGACAGGTGTCACCACTGCAGAAAGTGTAAAATGTGTGTCTTGAAGATGGACCATCACTGTCCTTGGGTCAAAAACTGCATTGGATTTTACAATTACAAGTTCTTCCTGTTGCTCATCATGTACGCATCTGCTTTGTGCTTGTTCATGCTCTTCACGATGGCTATGTCTACATTTCGTTTCTGCAGTAAAGCCGCCCCACTTTGGCTGAAGATCCTTGTGTGCTTGGGCCAGCTACTGATTCTGTTGCTGAGCATTGCTTTGCCACTCTTCACGGCGTTTCACATTCATCTCGTAAAGGGGGGCTATACAACCATCGAATATTGCGAGAAAAAGCTTCGGCTTCGCAAGAATAAACAGCCTAAGGACAGGAAAAGTGGAGAATCAACTCCACCCATTCGGTTCGTTTCCTACAACTTGGGTCCTTGGCAGAACTTCGTTGCGATCTTTGGCGAGAACAAATGGTTGTGGCCGTTTCCTCTGGCCCGACAGCCACCTGGGGATGGCATTACTTTCCCGACACCATTGTCCAGTCAGTCCAGTCGTGAGAGCACAGGGTTGTTGAGTGCTGAGAGGCGCCAGCCAAAGGCAATTGATCAAAAGCTGGAATAGGCGGCTTGAAACCACAGGCGTGTTAGGATTGGCCCAAGTGCTGTGCCGTTGCTTTGTCTTGAGGTGCGAACGTCAAAAAATAACATAGCGCCAAATGCTGTCCTGCAAAAGCCTAATCAGGGCCTAATCATAATCAAGGTGACTGGAACTTGGGATCCCACTACCAGTTGGTGTCGAGTCGGATGGTGCAACGAGGAGATTTATTGATTTTATGGCGTGTTGCATGCTTCAAAGCTCCATTGACCACCCATGATTGCCCATGATCTTTAGATTTCCATGGGTTTTTGCAACGGCTCATTTGAAGTGGCTGCAGGTGGTCTGCCGCGAGGGGACCGATCGAACCTCGAACCAATATCTCTTAGTAAAAAGGGAGCTTTGAGTTCCCAGACTTGGTTTGGGAGAACAGTTGCAACAGTTTGATGGCAAACATGGTTGTTTTTCGGATTCTTTTTGGGTAGATTTCCCCTGAAACTAAGCCAGTGGCGCCAAATGTATTCCAGACTGAATGGGCCTAGATGCTTAACTTGGAGGGAGCCAGGGCTGTGCATGAGGCCATTTGCATCACTTTTTGCTGATTGACCTCGTGGCTCGAGGGGGTGTTTCACTGGCGAGCCCAAGGGGCTCAAAGGGTCAGATGCCGAACATAGAAGTCCGCAAGTATATGGCAAAGGTGATCCCGACTGTTTAACCAGCACTCTTTCATGTCTTTCCTATCTAAATTTGTGGGTATCCAAGATGCATAAGTCTAGATTCCGGAGATCCAATGGATGCGTTGGTTCATTAGGTACAACTGCAGGAAACTATCCTTCCTAAACCTGAGCTCAACATTTCCAGGGGTCATTGGAGATTCACCATGAATCCCGCTCTGTCAAAGCGGATCACCATGAGCAGCATCAGGCGCGGTGGCAGCATGGAATGTTGGCCATGATCTCTGGTGCCGGGGAGCCACTTTGGGATGTCCTAAGTTTGCTCCCAACTTGGGGCGGTTCAACATTAACCATGGAGTTCCAATTCCTGAATGATGGTTTATAAGCTGTCCCTCAAATTGAAGGAACCATACTTGGAAGCCATGGTTCCTGAGCTCGTTTCTAGCGTTTCCGGGTGGGGAACTTCAGCGTCGCAGGGTGTGGCCCGATTTGGCCAACATGCCCGGTGTGGACGCAGCTCCCACGCCCCAAGCGCCCAATGAAGAGGAAGAGGACGCCATGTGGTGGATATTTTGCGCAACGTGGGGGTATAGCAACCGGGTATAGTTTACAAATGACTTCAACATGTTTGAAACAATACGACACAATGAGATTTTGATGGGTACTCCTCTCACTTTAGGGTTTATTGCCATTCCATTCCCCAAGATATCTCTTCAGTGATGAAAGCAGCGATGAGGTGGAAACAGTTTCGGTTTCACAGGCTTAAGCTGAGGCAGTTGCATGCCCTTTGTACGTTGATGTTTTATTTTTATTTTTTAAAATATACACACACACATATATATATAATATAGTTTAATTTGATTATTGCCCAGCCCCGTCCCGTTGGTTTCAAGATGTTTCACTTTTGGTTTCCTTTTGGTTTCCTTTTGGTTTCCGCTATGCTGAGTGAATGCGCCGCCACGCTTGCATGGGCGAGTGCGCAGGGCGCAAGCTACCTGGGATTGTGACCCCCAATGGATTGAAGCTGCAAGGAGCTAGAAGAGCCGCAGATGTCCGCAGAAGGGCCCAGCCTGGGCCAACGGGCCGTAGGTCGTAGGCCGTAGGCATCCATCCTCACTCAGAAAAGATCCTTTTAGAAGATTTCCAGCATTGGTTCAAGGGACAACCTGCAGGGATGATGATGATGATGATGATGATGATGAAACCTCCGAGTCATGAACATGTCCCAGTCGCCCCAAGGCTTGTTTCGCAGAGCGGGACGACGTTTCAGAAGGATCACCTGCAGAGGTGGGACAGTTGCTTTTGAGACACGTCAACGTTGCAGACCTCGAAAAAGGAGTGGTTGACGAGCTCCGTTTTCCCAAGTTTTTCCACAGAACGTCCTTCAGAAATTGAGCTATACACCATATGTCATGTATCAGATTATCAGGTGTTTCGCATCATTTCGCATCCTTTACCATAATTTACCATAATTTACCATAATTTACCATAATTTTCAGAGGATCTCTATAGTGGCCCTGGGATTTTTTGTTCTCCCTTTGTGAGCCACGTTTGATCTTCAGATCTGCCAGATGGCTGAGAAGGCCACGGGAAGTGGCGATAAGCCGCTGGCCGAAGCCGGCACTGAGGCCAGAAATTTGGAGAAAACGGAGTTTTTGTTTTTAAATCAGTGCTTTATATTTGGATTTAAATAGGATGGTTGTTTTTTTTCTCCATCTTTTTATGTTGTCCGAGAGGTGGATTTTTTTTCCACAAATTGGAGGCCATGGAGGCAGAGGAAGCTGCCGAAGCTGCTGAGATACCAGCAGGCGGCAGTGAGGCCGGGCAAAATGTGTTCCCTCTGAGCCCACAAAGATGGGTAAGTCATGGTAGGTTGGTTTGGAACCAATATGACTCTATGAATACATGAGATTTGTATGGATTCATATTGAGGTACTTTGATCCATTGGATTAAAATGGACATCTTTGAGTTTCTACATCAGTTTAAAACCGAGCGCGGTCCCACTGGGTTTGCTCTTCGTATCCTTCTGGGATTTTTGAAGGGATTGCCTGGTTGGAAACTGAACATCTGGTGCGCTTGACAAAAGAAGACGCGATCTGGGTAGCAGACCGGACTATTTTTTTCTTATTCGGCTTGTGTCTACCTAGAAGGTACTTGATCCCAAAATCATCCAAAATCATCCAATTGAAGCCAAACAAATCTACAGGAAACCCTTCCATTTTGGGTGGTGAAAACGGTGATGATGCGACCTCAGGCTGGGGAAGGTGAGGCAGAGGAGAAGGACGAGCAAGTCATCCCCCCAAGTGCTGGAGCCTCGGGGATGCCACGACCAAATATGGCTGTGTAATTAGCCAAAAAAAATCGAACTCTATCAGATTCTTTATCCATGTTTTATAAATCATATAGATCATGTTTTTGAACGCACCCATTGCACAGATCTTTCAACCTGTCATAGTGCTGGTAGGGATGTCCTGGCGTTCCATGCGTCTCCCAAGGTAAGTACTACATGGTCAGAGGATGTTCGACAAGGATCATCTTCAGAGGTTGGGCTGTGGCTTGAGACATGAGACATATCCGAACTTATGGAGCCGGGGTTAATATTGTCCAGATGTGTATGTACACACACACACATATATACTGTATATATATATACTATATATATATATATTTATAGAGGCTTCTCCAACCCCTTTATAGAGGCTTCTCCAACCCCTTAGAACTATTGTCAGCAATCAGATGGCATGATGAGCAGTTGATAATGAAAAACATTTCCATGCAATTTTCGCCACGAGAAGCACATTGACATGAAGAGAGCATCAGGTGAAAATATGGATAGTTCCAAGAAGTCAGAACACGCATTGTATACATGTTTTTATGTATACATAAAAACATGGGTATGGGCAAAAATTGAGTACACCAATTATTGGATGGTTAATACAAAAAATAGACTTAAATCTGTGGTCCCCCAGGTCTTTAATTTTGACCCACACCCACATGCATATATATATATATGCACTTTGCCCGTCTCAGAGGGCTTTAAGAAGAGATGTTGCAAGTTAAAACTGATGACCGAGAAAGCAGCAGTGAACGCGAAAGGACGGTTGAGTTTCCAGGTACCACCGGATAGTCTCCATGGCAGGTGCCCCTGGGCCAACCTCAACCTGCATCTGAAGAGACGCCAGAGGAACAGGCACATGCGACCAGTATCCAGTATCCACCAGGAATGATGACAAATGTATCGAATGGCACCATTAATGGATAAAGTATCCACCATCATTTGGGTATGGATCAATACCTATTAATACCATTTTTAGGGGGATGAACATCCATTTACCAGCTATTTTGATGTTCACCAGGGGTACAAGGTTTTGACACACTGCCATTTCCACCATCATTGTCTAAGAGGATCCACCAGGAATGATCAGCGATGATCAGTCAAACACAAACAACCCTCAAGGCCACAGAGGCCCCTGAGGCTGAAGGAACTGGTGAGGCCCAGCGTTTTTTCGTCAGGGTTTGGTGGTCTGCATGATTTTCGTTAGGAAAACCATGGTAAACCCCTCTGGTAATTCAACAGTGTGCTATGGTATACATGGCCCTGATGATTTTCTGGGCATGATGGTGATCCAATATTATAAATTGATTGTATTGATATTGCCTCAATGACATTGCGTATTTAGTTAATGATTATAGTTAAATATCTCTGGGTGGTACCTCAGGCTGCAATGGCTGCCACGGAAGTGGAAGCCGACAAGGAAGAGGAGAAGGCCATGATCCATGAACACAATCGAGGTGGAACATAATTTTCCTCGTGTTTCATGGGGTTCCAACGATCCAAAATAGGGAGATAGTGGGATATAGTGACAATATAGTGGGTAGGATCCATAACATCTGGTGATCAAACACAGCTCAAGCTGGGAAATCCCCGTGGCCTAAATGGAGGTTTCTAGCTGGGAAAATCATCGAACTAAATGGGTGAGGTTCCATTGCCACCTGTGATTACCGGAGGGTAAATCGTTTGATCAGGAACTAGGACCCTAGGAGACACTGAAGTTAGTTGGCCCCCAATTTCCATGCTCGAAAGCTGGCACTTGACACATCTAGCCACATCATCCAACTGTGGTCTCTTTGCATTTGCATGTCTTTGACGGTCCGGTCTACAGGTTGGCATGGAAGTTGAGGCGGAGAAAGATGAAGAGGAGTGGGTCAATATTCCTGGTGCTGGAGCCTCAGTCCGAATGACCTGGCGATGGGATTGGCTCCAGATTACCTCCCAAACTATGGCTGATTGCTGAAGACAACTAAATTTAAGCTTCCGTAGGTGCCCCATCTTATCAGTTTGCCACATGCACAATGCACACATCTTCCAAGAACGTGGTGAATCAACCCTTTGACTTTGCTCAATATTTTTCGTTGGGTATCCAAATAAAGGTTACTCAAAATTATCAAATCATGTTTGATTACTTGGATAAAGAAAGCCAGGAGAACCTGTATTATTATCTTCATGTTAGTATACATATATAATACTGCATCCGCTTAAGCATCCTTTTACACACACATATACACATACACACATACATATATACATAGACATATATCTATCTATCTATATATATATGTATATATATATATATCCCATTGTTCCGATTGTACACGACATATCATGATATATCCCATTTTTCTTGATGGACATTTTTCCATATGAGCCACCAGCTGCCATTGAGGCTCCGCAAGAACTAACGCCGGCCATGCCCAGCGATGCGGAAGAGGAGCCCGAGGAATCCATCGCAACTTGGCTCCAGTGCATGGGCCGCCAATGGTGGTGGAAGTTCAGCAGATTGCAACTAACATAGATCTGGAAAAGCAATGGTTTCCCTAGGAAAAGGATCTACACATGGTGGGTTTTCTAAATCTATGTTAGCTTACAGGAGGGCAAACCATTCTTGAACCATCAGATTTGTGATGATTTTTGGACGTATGCTCAATTTTTCGATTTTGGGGTGAAACTGTGAAACCGCATTTTCCGACAAACCAACTTATCATCTTGGGACAAGAGATGGGAAATCCCTGAAGAAAAGAGATCATGAGAAAGGCCAGGGTTCCACGAAACTACTGAACCATCTGATTCCTATAGATAGACATTTTCAAGGCAAAATCATTGGGACCTCAAGGGCCACCAGCATCCAGCCACAGCTGTGTGGCCGCGGAGGATGACACCTTGCAGTTGATGTTGGAGATCTCTGAGCAAGAACCAGGCAGGTGGATGCTAAACTCCTGTTGCTTGATGACCATGGAGGGCTTTATATATGCACACACACACATATATATTATATGTATATACATATGTGTATTATATATATATAATTATAAATGCACATTTTTATACACTACCAAGTATAGGTTGGAGATTGTCATAACCCATGAGCTGGGAATCCCGTTCTTAACCGTATGAGGGTTGGAAGATTGTTCACATGATGTTATGCACACACACACACATATATATATATTATATATATATGTACCTGGAATGACTAGATGAAGTTCTTTGGGTCTCCCAAAACAAGAACCAAATCTTAACCCTTAGCCCACGGCCTTGTTTTGAAGGCACCAAGCAGCACGTCTTCGCTGACTCAGTAGCAGAGAAGCCACCCGTGGAGGAGGCCCAAAACCGCAGCCGTGTTTAGTTCCCAAAGATGTTGGACCACATTTTCCAACACCTTGGGATATCTTAGGTATCTCAATGGTACAATGGTACTGATATCTTTGGGAAGTGAAAGTTTGAAACCTAGTGAGACCCATGAACCGCCGCCCAGGAACTGCCGCCGAAAGAGGCTCCTTCGCCCCAACAGAAATTGCTCGAAGCCGAGCCGCAGGCAGCAAAAGCTCCCCCTGCGGCCCAGGAGGTGAGTCTCTGGGGGATGGATGATGTGGTTTTTATGATGCGATTCTGGGACCCACCTCCCTTGAGATGAGGAACTACAGGCATGCATAAGCCCACTACAGGCATCTTTAGGCGGCTTTTGACATTCAAGTGGGGATGTATATAGTACTCAACGAGGAGATCTCCAAATCTCTAAGACTCTTGATCATTGAAACGAAGACTTGGATTGGGCTAAGGACACCCCTGAGTGTATATTCATGATCTAAAAAAAAATCAAACCAAAACACATGAGGACATTTGTCCCATATCATTTTCCACCAAAAAAAAGATACTCTACTGGCTAGACATTATATATATGGATAAACACTATACACATCATTTATCCTACCAGGAATGACCGCAAGTGACAGCCCTCAACGGCCCACTGCCAGGTCAGATCTCCTGCTCGGACTCCTGTGGGGATACCCACCAGAGGTCAACACCCACAATTTTCCATAGATTTGGGGGGCTGGACATTCATTTACCAGCTTTTTTGATGTACTAGGTTAATAGGGGCCCGAAAAGGGTTTTGATCCATAGCCAATTGATGACCATGGACAATCCAGAATCCAAAAAAAATATGTGGGCTGCAGCTGTTTTTTGGTTGCCTTTTAGTGGCCATTCCAGGCCATACCGAACGCGGGCAAAGAATGAGCAAGGTACAATCAACTACAATCAAGTATATAGCTGTATCATCCCAACATCCTTTTCAAGTTTGAAAGCACGGAATGTGATGGAGTATTCAGCTTCTGAACTCTCTGAGATGGCGATGGAGAGAGAGATGGATGATAACCAGCCGGCCCATCAGTTCAGGCTTTAGGTCCACTGACTGATCCAAAATGACCAGGATTTTTGAGAGGATGGCCATCTCTACCAGCTGTACATGGCAGTACCAGGTAATTCGACTAGTCATCAGTTCGAACTCAGCCTGGAAACTGCCGCCATGGCACTGATGCACGCACCCAGCCTCCGTGCCGCTTGGCGCTACATGACCGTTTCGCAGCATCCTACCATAGGAGAACAGAGAAAAGACTGTAACTTCAACATCGCTGTGTACATGTGGGTTTGTCTGAAAATAGAATGCCCCTAAATTTGATGGTCTACCTTCATTTCTTCCACTGGAAGTACAAATTTGTCAGACAATACCATTATTTGCTTAAATCCCCATTTCTGCCGGTGAAATCTCGTTGAATCCAGTTCAGAGTCCCCTTACGATATCTTAAGATCCCATTAAAATCATTAAATCCAATAAAAACTGGGCTGCTCCCATCCAAAACGCTGGGCTGGGCTTGATGTGTTGGAAGCGAAAAGGTGGCCATCCGTTGATCCATCCCCAGGCCTTGGGTCCCGATGGCGGGACTCCTGGCATTCAGCGGTTCCACATGCGCCGTGTGGCCAGTGGCAGCTGGATGAAGTCAGGCAGGGAGGGCACCAAGTTGGTTGAGTTGGGGAGGAGGTGATGTTTAATGAACTATGTAACTTACGTATGTAATATATATATAATAGGTGTGTGTATGTATGTATTTTGTGCATATACATCTCTGAGTTATATGTGTGCATACGTGTAATTGCATATATATATATATGGATATGCATGTAGATATATGTACCTAAATTTCCGGGAATATGAGTCAGTCAGAGAGAAGCAAAAACATGAGTAAATGGATAAACAAATGGAGAAACGAATGAAATGATGATTATATCTACATGCTGTCGGTGTATATTCACTGCACAGAAAAAGAAGCTTTTCGACCGGCTTGGGGTGGACCCAGGAGTCCAAATGGGTTCAGCTTTCGTGATGATGCAGCATGCCATCAGCACCTTGAGGACGTTGGCCAAGGGGCTTGTCTTAGGGCAACCCCCAGCGTTTATCACATTTCAATAATTTCAACATTTCATGGTTTATCAAGTTGATCATTTTGGGGGTCATGGAACTTGGCAGATCAAAGGTCTCGCAGCTAACCTCAGACTAGTTGCCATGGTCCCCACATCATTTTCTCGATGGAGGTCTGACTGCGCTTTGCTTCTACCTTCCCAGTTGCATACCGGCAGCAAATGGGAATGATATAAAAAAATAGCACAATCTGCATGTCATGTTGGCCTCACATCATATCCTTGATTCGCAGGAAAACGAATCGGCGTGGCGACAGCCACCGTTTCAGCATCACGGTGCACTTCTCAGCTACAGCTCTGGGGCTTGGTCTGATCATGACACCCCAGAACTGACGGAATGTAATCATTTTCCAACATTTCCCCTATATTTTTGGCATTCGTGTTGCAATTTGTACGGTATAATGACCCCACTTTTTGACGAACTCATGCTGTTTTTTCGTGGTCATGTTGACCATGAAATTCCCAGGCGAGAGCTAGCGCTCCAAGCTTCACCGCCAACGATGTCAGGGGCCTGGTGACCAGGTCAAGTGACTGGAAACATTTGGAAACAGGATCAAATGGGATTAAATGATGGATGTTTTGGTTGGTGGCTGATAATGGTGGAAGAACTTGGGACCTGGGTATTTCTAAACCGTAAGATGCCTTTCTTGGGCCGGCAAGTGGCCGGCAAGTGGTTGATCTGCAGGTGGTGGTCGTTTATGACCGAAACTCCAAGGTGGCTGGTGAAGTGTGATGCTCAGAAGGGCTAGGAATAGTGACCTATGATTGAGGCTGCCATTAGTACTATGTATTTCGTGGTGCTTGTAGGTTGAAGAGGGATATGGGGATTCCAAGTTCTAAAAGCGGATATCCTTGCGAGGAAGAAGGGTTCTAAGGAAATTGTACTTGATGCGCAGTATTATTTTTCTTGGTGAGTTCGGACCAGACCTCAACTTTTTTGGGTGCTTCCAACGGTAAACATGTTTGTTACAAATACAATGGAAGACCCCCCAGAACAACCCAAGTATTGATGGTGAACTATCATGACATCCTGTCATTTATGCAGTACAATCCAATAATCAAACCATGCCCTGAAACTGATTTATATACTCCTAGCGAATCTGGATTTTCCATTCTCAGGCTTGACTGTCAGTTGGCAACTCCCCAACTCCCCAAAAGGGGAAATTTCATGAAATACCAGGCAAATCAGGCACATCTCATTATTTTTACGGGTTTAACCGGTGCAATCCCCGCATATGTTTGCTGGTTAGCATCCGTTTTTGCCCAGTGGTTCTCCCAGCAATTGTTGGATTTATATATGTATGGGATATACGAAAAAAACAGGGCTATTTTTTGGTAAATTACAAACATAGTTTGTAACTTCATCCATATGATTTATACCCACATTTTCCATCGACTTGCTCAGCCCAGGTGGTGGTTGCTGTGGAGAAGGACTCGGCCATGGCGCCCAAGAAAGTGGACTATGCGGTGCTGCCGTCCAGCGTCCGAGAGCCCAGGGGGCTCAGGGATTCGATTGAGGGGTTTCCATCAATGGGGGTAGCCCTATGAATGGATGATTTATAATGGAAACTCCTATGAAAATTTGGATGATTTGATGGGTACCCCCATTTTAGGACACTTCCATGTATGTTTTTACCATACAGGAATCGTTTTTTCTTGAGAGAATTCGCCTATGCATGATGCATCCATGGCGTTGACAAGTCACCCCCAGCCTAAGGATGCCAGCAGTCTGGCCGAGTTGGCGCGGCAGCGCGGGCTCACGGAGAAGGAGATGAAGCGCCTTACGAAGACGCACTCCGCCTCGGCGGTGCTGCCCAGTGGGGCATTGATACAGGAGCCGCTGGGAGCCGCTGGGAGCTGGGAGCTGGGAGCTGAAGAGCCAAGGTGTTTGTTTTTTTCCGCAACAACGTTCGTTTGGGAAAGTCACACTGGTTCTACCTTTTGGCTCTTGGGATGTATACCACCTGGGTGTATTTTTTTTTGGGGAGGAGGAATTTGAACCATAAAAAAAACGAAAAACTGATGATGATTTGGAAAAAAGCATTGGGGACCATGGGAGTTTGACCCATCACAAGGAAGGGTTTCAAATAGCAAAACACGGATCAACGTTGAGGGTCTAACCAGGTCAAGCTGGGCAATTCGATCCATAAAAGCTGGGGATTTGAAGAAAATGGTGGTTTAATCATCAAATATTGAGATTTATATAATCACCAAGCAGGACAGTTATCATCTATGACAGTCAGAAAATGGAATTCGAACCATCAGAAAATTGGGCCAGGATCTTAAACCTTTCCACGAATATATATATATATATATACATATGCGCTGCATGTTCTTTGCTTTCCAGTTTTCAGGGCATGAAAGCGTTGAGGACATGCAATCATTTTGGTGAGCGCTGCAGCACCATTTTGGCATTGGTCTTGCTGTGGCTCAAACAGCCCAGGTCGTCCAGCTCCATCTCTGCGCCCAGCATGGCTGCCATGGACCTGGACGAATGGATGGAGCTCGACCGTCCCCGCGGCTGGTCCATGCAGCACGGCCACCGTCGGCGTTTGATGCCGGCGGAAGGGGATGACGTGCGCTGCAGGGGACGCTCGACGGTGAAGAGGACACTGGCGTCCGGCAAGCGATGGCAACCGCTGGAGAAGAACAAGAGCCACAAGTGCCATGGAGGGAACCAACTGGTTACCACAGGGGATGAGAGGGTGAAGGATCAAAAAAAAATTATTATTGGGATCAAAAAAAATTATTATTTAGGGATCAAAAAAAAATTATTATAGGGATCAAAAAAAAATATTGTTAGGATTCATACTAATAGTAATAATAATGATAATAGTAATAGCAGTAGTAGTAATAATAGTAGTAGTAGTAGTAGTAGTAATAGTAGTAGTAAAAATAAAAATACTAATAGTAATAATAATACTAATAATAATAACAATAATAGAAATAATAATAATAGTAGTAAAATAATAATAATAGAAATGATAGTAGTAGTAGTAGTAGTAGTACTAGTACTAGTAGTAGTAGTAGTAGTAGTAGTAGTAGTAGTACTAGTAGTAGTAGTAGTAGTAGCAGTAAAAATAATAGCAGTAGTAGTACTAATAGTAATAGTCACATGAGTGGTGTCCACAAGATTACTCGTATATAAATGTGCTCAATACTCATGCAGTACCCACGTAGGATGCAAGTTAAAGCAAAAACAAGGGCGCAGCGCCTCCCCCCGCAAAGCGTCACATGGTCATGATCGATTCATTCGCAATGTAGGTGGGCCTTATCATCCACCTTTGTGGCGTTGTCACAGCATACAGCGGTAGCAGTAGACGTAGCAGTTGGTGGGCCATACCATCCAGCTTTTTGTAGCGACAAAGATGGTGGGCCATATCATCCACCTTTGTGGTTTTGTCACAGCATGGCACCAAAGCACGCATTTGAATTTGACGACAAGTTTGATCACATACGTTGAAACAAAAGGTGGGCCGTGTCATCCACCTTTGTGGCTCTGTCATAGCATTACAGCAAAGCACGCGCTTAGGCTAATTGATTTACTATGGGCGAGGTGGTGTGGCAGCAAAGCACGCACTTGAATTTTGACGACAAATTTGATCACACACGCTTGAAACAGAAGGTGGGCCGTATTATCCACCTTTGAAACAGAAGGTGGGCCGTATCATCCACCTTTCTGGCAATGTCACAAGCTGCGCGGGGGAGGCTTTAAAATAAAAAGGCGGGAGGGGGGCGCGGGGGGAGGGCCCAGCGCCTCCCCCCGCAAAGCGTCACATGGTCATGATACATTCAGTCGCAATGTAGGTGGGCCTTATCATCCACCTTTTGGGGCGGTGTCACAAGCCGCGGGGACGCTTGAAAATAAAAAGCCGGGAGGGGGGCGCGGGGGGAGGGCGCAGGATGCATGTATGTATGTCTGTAGGTCGATCGGCAAGCATGTATGTAGTTCAAATATACGCGTGCAATCTATATATATATATATACATATATTCCTTCCTTTCCTTCCCTGCCCTTCCCTTCCCTTCTCTTTCCTTTCCTTTCCTTCCCTTCCCTTCTCTTTCCTTTCCTTTCCTTTCCTTTTTCCTTTCCTTTCCTTTTTCCTTTCCTTTCCTTTCCTTTCCTTTCCGTTCCTTTCCTTTCCTTTCCTTTCCTTCCTTCCCTTGTCCGAAAATATTCTTTTTGATCCTAATAATATTTTTTTTTATCTAGATGCCTCCTTCCTGCCTGCCTGCCTTCCTTCCTTCCTGAATATTTTTTCATTGCAATAATAGTTTTGTTTGCTTGCAATAATAACTATTTTTGACTGCATGTGCAAAGAGAAAGAGAATAGTACAAGAGAAGAAGAGCTGTAGGAGCCATAGAAGCCAAAAGCCACAGGAGCCGAAGGAGCCATAGGAGCCGAAGAAGCCAGAGGAGCCGGAGGAGCAAGACAAGAAACCAGAAGCCAAAAAGCCACAAGGAGCCACCGGGGACACAGGAGCCGAAGGAGCCACAGAAGCCAGGAGCCGAAGGAGCCAGGAGCCGAAGGAGCCACAGAAAGCAAAAAACCAGAAGCCAAAAAGCCAAGAAGCCACGAAGCCACCAGGAGCCACCAGGAGCCACCAGGAGCCACAGAAGCCAGGAGCCAAAGGAGCCAGGAGAAAAAAAAAAATCCCCTCCCCCCCCAAAAAAAATTCCCAAATTAAATTACCCTCCTTTCTTTACTTCAATCTTTCTTCCTTCCTTCCTTCCTTCCCCCCCTTCCTTCTTTCCTTTACTTACAAACAGTAATATTTTTTTTTGATCCTAATAATAATTTTCTTTTGATCCTAATAATATTTTTTTGATCCTAATAATAATTTTTTTTTGATACCCATCCCGGGATGAGATGGGTTGATATGTTCCAGGAGGCTCTGAGTGAGGGCAGTTGAGCATCAGTTTCTCAGCGTTTGACAAATAAGTTCAAGCAAGTATACACAATCGATATGAATGAATTGGTTCAGGTGAGTTGCAGGCATTGAGATGCCATCGGGTCAAATTCTTGGTTGAAGAAGATAGGAGACGGATAATTGCAATCGACGGATGGCCAAACATCAGTGCATTGCAGATGTTGAATCACACCCGTGACATTTGGATGGTTTTCGCGTTAAAGCTATGCTGTTGGCATGCGTGAAAAGATCAGACCTCCAAACATGTGGGGATTTGGGTCCAGACTTCTATTGACATTTTACCAAAAAAGAGGAATTCCTTCCAGCAAGTCAACCAAGCATCAGGAAACCCCATGATTTATTGGGCAAACTATCCTTGGTGATGCCATGGCTCCTCCCAGGCAACAGGTCCGGCTATGGTGGGAGATGAGGTCTGCTGTCTTGGATCAGATGGTTGAGGAGGCGAGTGGTGGGATTGAAGCCCGGAGACGTCCAGGTCAGATTTCTGTGTCAGTCATGTGGTTAAAACAATAAACCATCCCCCAAATCACCATAAATGGGTGGTATAAACATGTATAAACCATCAAAAATGGAGTGGTTTATTATTGCTATTAGTCATTGTATGTTTTGGTGACATGGGTGCCCTTGAGGTGCTAAATCTAATCAGCCCAGCGCAGCTCGAAGTGGGACCATTGGATGAGCTCCCACGTTGGTGTGCGAATCCTGCACTCCTGTAGTCCCACATGCAGTTTTCGAAAAAAAACAGTGGCATAAATTCCACTCAGAGAAATCATCCGAAGGCAGGTCAAATCTCATCAAATATCACCTGTCTCAAGATTTTTGTGACCACAGATTGGGAACAGTACTTTAGAGTCCCAAAACTCACTAACAATCCCTTGCCATCAGGACTACGACGGCTACTACGACTGGGTCTCCGAAGACGAGCTGGACTTGGCTTCGGTGGATGACTGGGAAGTCAGCTCCGCAGCCGACACCGCCTCCACCGCTGCCTCCACTGTGGAGGTGATGGTGCCCTGCGGCGGTGCCAAGGGCGGTGCAAGGGCCTGGGAGTTGGCGCTGGAACAGGCGGCCGTGGTGGCCAAACGGTTGCCTGGTGGGGGCCGGATGAGGATGTTGCTTGAGGTTTTTGGGCTTGTGATCCTGCGAATGGATTGAAATCATTTGTTAGTTAGTAATATTGTATCTCCATCCATTCCACCCATCAATGGATTGGTTTAAGGGAAAATCTACAGGAAACCATGGTTTTTATCATCAAATATAGGGGTTTCCTGTAAATTTTCCCGTCATCCAATTCTGTGAACCCAATATCAAATGTATTGAACCATTATTGGGCTTCAAAGACTATTTTCTGGGCCTCGGCATCTCCTTCCATCCTTCCATGGCGTCGGCACCGCCCAGGTTCCAAGTTGCAAAGGAAGAAAGCGCCAAGGCCGAGCGCCGACAGCGCCGTGGGGCCAAGACCATGGATCCGGAGGCCCAGTGGGTCCAGTGATCTGTAGATTCCTACCGTTTTCCATGGCATGAAAGTTGCAATAAGTAAAGAGATCAGTGAATGAGAAAATATGAGCACATGAAGAAGACATTAGGACACTCTTGTGGTTAAAATCAATGAAGACATGAAGAACGATGAGGAAAGAGTTCTAGATCATTGCATGTCCATCCATTATCTATTCATATATTCAATCTATTTCAATCTCTGTTGCAGGCGCAGAGCTTAGCTCAGCACTTGCGCCTTGACGTGGGGGACCAGCCAGTCAACATGGCTGGCGAAGTAGCTAAACATGGGTGAATCTTGGGGTAAGTTTTCTTGAAGAGAGCCTCGACTCACAGCAAGATAGAACACTGATAGAAAAGTATCAGAAAAGTGGAATTCATCGCTGTGATTTTGATGGTTACACACTTTTCTATTTTGTCTGGACCCCTGCTATCACCAGCACAGAAGGGGGATAATATAGAGCCAAAATGAACGAATCATGGGCGAGAATGTTGACGTAACATATTACCACTGGTAACCCTAATAGTAATCTCAATCTCAAAACCATGAGGATTTGCCAGCATCTATCAGCATCCAAGCAGAATCATGGCATATCATGGCCGCTAAGGCACCAGCATCGCATCAAGTTGCTGTGCCCGGAGTTGGCGTCCCGGCAGCACGACGCCTTCGAAGAGTTTCGGATGAAGTTCTTGCAGGACTTTGGCAGCAGCATCGGCACCTTGGCGCAGCTATGGTGAAGATGCCAGAAATGCGGATAATCTTAGTGTGCGTATGTGTATATATATATACTGTATATACGTGTGTGTGTGTGTGCATATGTACATAACTATACATATAACTATATATATACTATTATATATATGTACATATGTATATACGTATTGAATAATTCAACATAGCACACTTTCGATATTGGATGTCTTATGTATCTTCGTCGTTGGGCACATGTTACGCATGTGAACTGCACATTGTGCCACGAAACAAACGGAGACCAAGGTGCTGGGCTCCAGAGCTGCTACCAGAGTGAGGTGGAGCTGCGTTGCGCGCCCATGAACAAAAACCTGCAGTCCAGGTTTTTGAGTTGCAAGGCGCTGTGGGGTGACCTGGGGGGGAACACATGGCTGGGTCGGGTACCGTGGGGAGCTGTGGTATCACTATCCAGGAGAAGCAGGCGGAGCAGTTGTGCCCGGTCCTTCATGGCACGGAAGATCGGAATTTACCCTCCATCTACCAGAAAGGACCGGATTTTGCTGGCATGCGTCAAATGGATTCAAATGGGGTAGTCATTATTTTTTTTACCACAGAACTGGCTGTTTAAGTATATTCACCATTTTTTACAGACCCAGATCTTGCCTTGGATGCTGGGCAGCAGCAGGACTCTTGGTGCCGACTGGACAGAACAATGTGCGGGTTCTCAACGGCTCCTCTCACGGAAAAGGTATCTACACCGCCAAGACGCAGAATACAGCTCCTCAGCTTGCTGCCGTGCACATGCATCATCATGCATCTACGGTATATTGATACATGAATCTACACGTACAGGTATATGCATGTTCACGCGTTTCTAGTTGGTGATTTCAACTACTGAGCTGTAATGACTTTCCTGTTCAAATTCGCTAAATCACATATCCCCACACATGCGAAGACATTTTGGCCTAGCCAATTCCTCTACAGGTTTTGGGCATGCTTTCTTGGCTGAGTAGTGTCTCCTTCTTTGATACACATCTCGTCACGTCTCCGTCTCCAGATCCATGTGAATCTACGTTAGTTTCCTGGAAGGTGGCACAGACCGAGCTCTCCGCCTCTCTATGGCTTTGTCTGAAAACAGGTAGCCCTTTCCAATGGAATTATCAGCACTTCCCATCTTCCGATTAATGTGCAATTTGGGGGTAAACATATACACATCATTTTCAGACAATCATGGTCATAATTATCGAAAGGGGGAACATTAAATCCCATTAACAGATTAACAATCGATACTTATCACAAATTTATCGGACACACTAGGATATTTCATGATATATTTGCCATAACCCCTAGTCAAACTCAATTCAACAAACTATATCATAATTGAGATCATTTGGAATGCCACAATCATTGTAATTCCTGTCAGTTCCCATTATATCCCAAGATCATTCGGAACGTCCAGAAATATATCCAATAACCCACAATGTGGTAAACCGGTAAACCCAATAATAAGCCATCCCCAAGTCATCAGCATTTTGATGGCTGGTCTTTGAACCATCCCCAAGTTGGTAGGTTTATGGCAGCCAGGGTTGCCCACATTAGATTCATATCCCAAGAAAATCCCGAGACCTTCCTCATTGGATTGGTTTAAGGGAAAAATTATGGGAACCACCCATATTTCATGGGAAAAACTATGGTTTCCTGTAGATTTTCCCTTAAACCAATCCAATGACTTCCACCAAAAAAAGCCGCCGAGCGGAGGCTCTCTCCTTCGGCTTCTCCAAGGGCCTGTCGCGGCCGCTGCTGATCTGTGGTGCCCTGGATGATGCGGTGCCGCTGCCGGCGCCGCTGCGCTGCGGCAATCATTTCATCACGGCAGAGTCGGCCAGCGTGCGCTGCTCGGCATGGAAGCCCTGTTTTTTTTTCGCGGACAATTGCAGGAAACACTTGGATGGAGATAGAATTGGTGAATCACTGGTGTTTCTGGGACAATTCCAAGAAACGAATGATGTTGAAATATGTTGAAATGTATGATTTGAAGTTGAAAATGGTGGTGTGCCATGGGTATACATTATAATTCACCGGTTAATCATCATCTTCCCTTGAAACATTGGGCAAATTGGGGGCCCCATGTTCAGACACGCCCTGATAGGTGGTAAGATTACGAGGTAAATGTCAACCATACACGATTCTGGACACAAGATATTTCTACAATCTATTTCGGGGGTTCCAAGGGACCTGGTTTACCTGGTGCCAGGTGGTGATTAAACCTATCAATTTTTCAGGACATGTGGGCGATGCCATTGTCGTCTTCGATGAGAGTAAGCTGCTGCCTCCCTTCGTGGCATCCTCTCCGGGTATTTTGCCGCCCTTGAAGCCCGGTCCAGCCACGGCGCCTGCGGCCGCCCCGGCCGCGGCACCGGCACCGGCGGTGGTGCTGCAAGCCCAGGTTGCAGGCACAGCTGCGGAGATGCTTGGTCTGAGGAGCTTTGCTGGGGCCATTGGGCACCAGAAATGTCAGATTGAACTTGAACCCTTTGAGCACAGCGGTTGGTAGGATCATGTAGGATCCATTTTTCAGATATTTCCAGATCACTTCCCTGGGTTGGGTTCCAGTTTTGTTTTCGGGTAGTGTTTGCTGACTCCTGGTTGACCTGTAGCTGATTCCCTCAGGAAGCGCCAGAAACGCATCGGCAATGGCCCAATCACCAGAGTCACAACGCCTCCTGGAGCACAGCTGGGCCGAAATTTTTCCCAAGACACCCCATATTTGGAACATGTTGGAACTAGTACCGGTGGTTGTTTGGTTGCCCTTTTGATTTTCCCCGCCAATTCGTTGAGAGTTTGAGGATCCGGGAGGGTTGGAAGCCTCCAAGGACTGCCAAGACAACTCGTCAGTTGACCATGGCCTTTCTTTCCCGTCGCGCAGTGCGAAAGCGACGCCCCTGAGCTGTTTCGGCAAGGAAACCACACTGGAGTGTGTATGCACCCGTGGTTCGCAAAGTCTGCCAGCCGGGGCGTCGCAGATGTACAGTCATTTTATGGCTTGACAGCTGTGTACAGTGTACAGACTCCAAAATGTCAAGATTTGGCCGCTGACTTCGGTGGCTGGGGGCAAAAATTGGATCAAGGGAAGGGCAGCCCATCTATCCCCACCTAGCAAGTTTGGTTCAGGTGCCTCATCCTCATGGCCATCCTCATGGCCACTCAAAATGGAGGCACTGTTCCAGTTCCATCTTTCTATATATATATATATCTATCTAGCAATATTCTGTTGATGTTTGGGGATATTGGGATGATATCTCATCTCCTTCTGCAGGCCTTAGACCCTACAGACACGGATTCACATGATGACATACCCGCCAGAAATTGTAGATTGACGACTATTAACCATTGTGATTTGCCATGAATTTCCCATGGAGACCAGTAGACCAAACCGCTGCAGAACCTGGAGTTGGATCCCTGGCCATTGCTGCGTGAGCTGCGATATCGCACCTGCTGGGATGCCTGGAAGTTGGGTATTTGGCCCTGGTGACGGTGGTGAAGCGACGTCACTGGGGAATCCGTTTCAAGGTCACTATCTAAGTGGATCTACACATGATCTAACCAGTAGATCTTGGGATTTCCAAGTGCCAGGTTGGGTTACCAGAGGGCTTGACTCTTGACTGGACTTTGGAGGTCCAGAACCGGGTGGTGTTTGGATGCTGTTCCCAGGTTTGGAGTATCCGAAGCTGGACGAATGGAAGGAGATGGAGGAGAAGTACTTTGTCCCGCTGCGGCCTGGGGGCTCGGACCAAGCGCAAGGGGCGTGCTGAGCTCTCGACTATCTGTCCTAACCATATCAAAGCCCCATCATGTGTCCAAGTCATATGAACCTTAGCTTTCGTGCACCTTTCCTGGGCCTCAAGTCAAAACAGGCACCCATGTAAATCGATCAGGGGACATCCCATGAGAAGAGAAGCGGAACAGGTTTTGATGGGGTGATTCCTGACTTAAGTGAACAGTTAGTATATGTGAATATGAATGTGAGAATTTGCATTGGGCATTTAAGCACAAAGATGGGGATGCAGCGGCTAAAAACAGGGGACGTCAATTAACAGATGTTTGGATACGAGGCAGAAAATCTGAGGATTCCAGCAACTGCAAGCTGACATCCTCAAGAGGGATGGGGACAGGACTACATCATCCATGAATTTCAAAACAGCTAGGGAGATAGCAAACAAAATCTGCACACATCACACTGCCTGAGGTCAATGAAAGGTCCTTGGTGGAAGCAGCCAGAGGCGGGGCAGGCTGCTGAGACTGTAGGAAAATCATTGAACAAAAATCATGTGCAAAGCCAGGTTCGATTACTCGATGGTAGTCAATGATCATGAATATCATGATTCAACGCATGAAATCTTAAAGGGACCCTCTTAGGGTTCCACACCTGGGTGAGGGCCACAAGGAAACTCGGCGAGGCTTTGGACTTGTTGGCGAAGCAACTAGACGAGGTGGGGATAAACATTGGGTTTGGGACTTTGGGACGTGAATTTTAAGTATTTTGTTGTGGTATAATTGTGTATATTTACATATGTGCACCAACAATTGGTGGGGGATATGTTGTTACTATTGTTAGTATTATATGTCAGCGTTACGATTATTACTAGTTATTATCATTCTTATTGGTGTTGGGATGATTATTCAAAGTGATGCGCAGGAAATTCTGTGGGAAGCGTTGTTACGCCCATCAACATAGCGTTTTCTGTGATTTTCACTCATTACCAGGCAAAGAAGCTATGGGACCCTTGCATGGTTAGTAAAGAAGGCATACAAGTGCCGTCGGAAAGTTTTCCAAAGGCTGTTGATTGCGTTTTGATTTCTGGCTATTTTGACACGTCCTACTTCAAGTGCTGTTGAGTGGAACTCCCTTTATTGGAGGCCCGGCAGTTCCGAATGGCTGCCAGGCCGGTCCCAGCCATGATGTGTGCCAGGTTGGTTTCGTGATAATTGATGACTTCTTGCCTGAAAACATGGCTCGCGCAATGAAGGTGCTTTGCTTCAACAGGGATTGGGGTGGATGGGGTTCCCCGCTTGGGGGTTAGAGTTCTCAAGTTGGGGTTGCAAGCTATATATAGATACGTTACCTCACCGTTGTACCGCTAGAAGTTGGGATGCAACCCCTGCAATTGTGGCAGAATACGCACTTTTTTCAGGTCCTATTTTATCTTACAAAGTGGAGTTGCAACCACAGAGTGCTTCAGATCAATGTGAAAATGAGCACAAAATCTAAAGCGTCCAACCTTGGAAAAAAGTCAATGTCAACTTCCATGGCTACGGAGCTATGCCCAGGCGAGCAACATGAAGCTCTATGAGGAGTCGGAGATGCAGGAGGGAGCCACCACTGGTGGTCCGGAAGCTCAGGAGTTGACAATGCTAAGGAGCCTTACCATCCCTTAGCCCTAACATCCCTTATAGAAATCTTAGAGCCTTAGATCACCTTAGATCACCTTAGACACCAGAAGCCCTGGTTCATTATTGAAGACTATTGAAGACTATTGAAATCTATTGAATATTGTTACCGCAGTGTTACCCATATGGAGTGTGACTAGGATTCACCCTGGCATTTGGTGCTAGCAGGCAGCGAGAGGGTTGGCATCCCGCATCGCCAGGGAACCCCAGGGGTTCCAGACTCCGGAGTCTGGAGGAGGTTCCATGTAAAAACTTAAGAATGGTACATCAATCATGACTGGTAAATCTACGTGAAATTCTCCTAGAATCCACATGTTTACTGAGTTCACTGGTTACATCACCATGTCGGCAGTGGTGCAAAGCCTTTCCGGCGTTTGAGGCGGTGACGTGCTGAAGTGGATTGGTTACGACGGAGAAAGTGAGGCCAGTCGCTGCGTCAGCGCCTTTGTGGTGACTTGGCAACCTCTGACCAATGGCTTTCCAATCGAGGGGAAGTTTTTTGGGTAGACTTTTTGGTCATTGAAGGTCTTTTTTTGGGAGGCCACAAATGGAGGACAAGGCCTTGGAATGGTTGTTGCACCTTGTGTTTTGTCCTCAGACAAGCTCGAGTCCTGCAGTTTCACTTCTTGCTGCATAAGTTGAAAAGCGTTTGAACTAATGTGGCGGACTGAAGCCAATAATACTTCATCAACAATCATCGGCCAGCCGTTGATGGGTATCCCCCGATGGCAAATATCCTACAGAAAATCATCATTTCTAAAAAACTTAAAGCATCTACTTTGGATAATTTTCGATTAGCAAACTCTTGAATTACCTGACGGTATCCCGGTCAAACAAAGCAACATTCCCATTTCTTAGGAACGGTTTGCTATTTCAACTCTGATCTTGTCCGAACATAGAGAGAGAGAGAGATATATATATATAATACTCGTAACTTCGACAGCAACATGTCCAGTTTCTCAACTCTGGTGAATTCAAGTCCCATTCAACATCCCATGAATTCCCAAATTTTCATGATAAGCTCTCATTTTTGCCATGAACCGTAAGTGTTCCACCCATGAACTCACACATTTTCATGGGAAAATCAGGGTTGCAGTCTATTGTTTCGCGGGTAGATGAACAGATCCTAGTTGCGCCCGGGAAGCCCCCAGGTTTTCCCAGTGCCCTAGGAGCACATTGAGCAGTCCATGCTGGCCATTGGCGACGCAGCCAGCACGGTGGCGCCTGAGGTGGCGCGGGCGGTGTCCAGCGCCATGGCCGAGGGGAGGATGGGATGGGAAAAGGAGTGACTCAACCAGCAGAAATGGTGACTTCACATGACCTATATCACCAGCAAACATGATGCCCTAGCATGACTTTTAATGACTTATATATATAATTATATATATATATGCATATATATATATACATATATATATATGGGTATGGATCAATACCCATTAATACCATTTTTAGGGGGATGAACATCCATTTACCAGCTATTTTGGGGTTCACCAGGGGTACAAGGTTTTGACACACTGCCATATATATATATAATATAATCGGCAAAAATGGGGATTGAAGCAACAAAAAGCGGGAATTCAACCGGCAAAAGGGGTGTCTTAACTACCATGGTGGTGCCAAACACAGGGATGGTGGGGATCATATCATATCATGGGGATATTTGATGGGATCATACAGAACCAGCGATATGGGTATGTGATGGTGGTTTATAGTCATTTATAGTCCCAAAAAATATTTGATTGGATTCAAAAAGTATTGTAGCATATTTTGTTTTGATGGCTTATATCCTGATGCGGTAAACCGACTCAAAAAACCTGACCCTTCCCTTTGGAGGACGGTTTCTACCACCTAAATATTTCTGTCAAATCATTGGGGATGGCTTATGGCATTGGTTCTACCGGCAAATGAGTGTGATGATTGTAGTTTGTTATGATGTGAGATATTAAGGTGATGGTGGTGATGATGGTGGTGATGATGGTGGTGATGATGATGATGATGACGACGACGACGATGACGATGACAATGACGATGACGACGATGACGATGACGATGACGATGATGATGATGATGACGACGATGATGATGATGATGAGGAGGATGATGATGATGATGATGCTGATGCTGATGACGATGACGATGACGATGATGATGATGATGATGATGATGAGGAGGATGATGATGATGATGCTGATGCTGATGACGATGACGATGACGATGATGATGATGACGACGATGATGATGATGATGATGATGATGATGATGATGATGATGATGCTGATGCTGATGCTGATGACGATGACGATGACGATGACGATGATGATGATGATGATGATGATGATCATGCTGCTGATGCTGATGCTGATGACGATGATGATGATGATGATGATGATGATGATGACGATGAGGATGATTATGATGACGATGAATAATTTATGATACATTATGCTAGATTATGATAGTATCCAGTGGTTCCTAGTTGGTTTTGTCGTTGGTGTTTCCGACTGCCCTTTGACTCACATCGCCCATTTAGTTCGAGGATCCTCCTAGCTATACACCTCGATTTAGCTCGGGATTTCCCGGCCATGTTTGATATACCCCGGCAGGTAACTTGGAATAATTTCTTGTATTTCTCGTCCCATGAATTGCCAGTATATCTCCATTCCATCCCATAGATGAGTCGCCAGTCTCCTTAATTCCAATCCCTGTTGATGATTTGATGGTTAAATCCCGCGATGATCCCATTAAACCACCATTAAACTACCATAAAATCACCCTGAAATTCCCATCAATTCGGCAGATTGGTGATTTCTATATGGGGGCCGATACACCTCAGGTGTGAAGTGGCGTTCCGAGACGATGCTCACTTGCTACCCGGGAAAAAACCGCGCGCGTTGCTTGGCCATCGATCGGATTGGTTTCGGGGGAGCTGATGTTTTGTTGATGCTTTTTGATACGAAGTGAAGTTGTATATGTTTTTTTTTGGTGTCTCTTTATACTTTGGGTGTTTTTTCAACATATTTCAGGCATCTTCCCTTTATTAACAGAATCAAACGAGGTTTGCATCTAGGAAGGGTGGGTGTTCAACACACTTCTTTAACGACTGGCAATTCTTTTTGGTTGGGACGGGTAGCCAGGCCCGCAATGATAGGATACTGTTAATTATACAATGCATTTGACGTTGTCTGCTTTTCGGGAATTGCACGTGCTCACTTCTTTCCACCCGAGATGTGAGACGACCCCATTAACTCACTGTCAAACGGCACAAACATTTAAAACGTAGAAACATGTTTTTGGAACAGGATCGAAGTGCAGTAACATTTTGTTATTTCTTGCTGAAAGGATCTATGAATTTGTGAGATTCAAGCCTGCTCGTGGCCCATGACGCTCACTTGGACCCGCATCCCAGTTTGTAAGTGGTCTACACCCAGCCGCGCGCACACACACACACGCAGACACATATGACACACACACACACATTATGTAGTTGCATATGTACTAACGTCATATCCATTGTAACCCATGTATGACTGGGGATATTCCATGTTTGATCTGATTCTATCATGGTTCTTTCCAACTTCCCACATCTTCGGGCCGTTCTAAGGATATTTTCGTCACACGGACAACTCCTCGGGCAACGGGCGGCTGCTGACCGCCTTGGTCTATCTCAACGAGAACTGGCAGCAGGGTGATGGCGGGGAACTGCGGCTCTTCTACCCAGGAGCTGCCGGTCATCCCCACTGTGCAAGGATGGCATTTCTAGAATTCCGGAAGAGTTTTTTGAATCTTTTTGATGTTTCTTTGTTGGTGAGGGTGGTCAGGCAGGGCGAGTTGTTCGTTTTACTTTTGTGTTCCCTTAGGCTGTCAGCTGTTTGTTTTTTTTCCACGGCCTCGTGAGGAGAGAAGAATCTGAAGGCCAGCGGGGCTGTACCTCAGTTTCTGGGCCCCCCAAGTCATGCACACACCCAATGCGGTTTCCATAGGGGTATTTGATGTTACCATCTGGTACATTAACATAGCAGTGGAAATTCACAATTTTTCAGCAGTATTCGAAATTAGGTAAATTCACCTATAGATGGGCAATTATCCGCTGGAGGGTAGAAGGGATTGCAAATCCGTGTAGGTGCGAATGGAGGTGGAACCTCTGTGGAACCGGCTGCTGCTCTTTTGGTCGGATGATCGAAGTCCCCATGAAGTCCTCTCCACCTGCAAAGATCGTGCCTTGCTATGTGGGGATGGGAATCTCTCAGAATCGGTGCCATGACGTCCCATGCTTTTTGAGGTGAGCAAATGGTAGTGTTCCCAGATGTTCGCAGACTCTCGTGCACCCGCAATAAATTGAGGCTTCGCGGCCACGGTTTGGTTCTATGACCAGACCAACCCAACCATTCCCTTGACGGATCCTTACCACGACTTGTGATGGGTCCGGGAGGTTTGTCACCCCCCAGGAGGTGACAGAATGATTGGGTCCCAAAACGTTGCATGGTTTGTGACTACAATGCGGATAAGTTAAGAGTAATTCCACGGTCTTCCTGTTGGATGCTTTCTCTCGTGGCTATCTACCACATTATGTTGCTTTCATCTCCATGATTGTTGGCGCGATGACTCTTGCAGTATCATGTTGTTGGCGGGATAAAAACCGTGAACCGTGCAATCTTGTTGGCTATGTAGGCCCTGGCCCTGGCTGACTTGGCACGTCCCGTTCCGAGGAAGTTGGGAGCATTTCTACAGGCAGCCGCAGCCTGTTTCACAGATTTGGCTTGGGGCGTAAGTATCCCTTAGCCCATCCTGATATCAGCACCTTTCGTTCCAAGCTTTCCGCTTTGATACCTTCTCAAACATACCAATCATACCATGTTTGCCCATGGCTTCGTTCACTTCAGATTTATCGGCAAGAGACGAAGGCAAAGAATGACAAAGATGACAAAGAAAAAAACAGGATCATGAAATGAAAGCGTATACTAGTCACATGAACCTTAGTACCAATACAGCCATGTATAATTACACATACTATATTTTAATATATATATATATCATATGTATGAAGCACAATTTTTTACAACATAATTAAATTTACACATGTATTTGTTATAATTACACATACTATAATTACAATTTTTTAAAAACGATGAAGCACACGTTCCTCCACAGGCAGCGCCGCAGCACCCGCGCCGCTGGACGACAGCGACACCACCCAAAAACAAGCGCCGGAGACGCCGGCTGCCGAGGTGATGGCGAAGGTGGAGGCAGTGGTTTTCAGCGTTTGGGTGACATATTTTGGGGGGGAATTGAAACAACCAACGTTGACTAATGACTAATGTTGGTAAAGCAGCAAAAAGATGGTTTATACCTAAAAGTGGTGAAAATGCGGATGGTTTACTACTTATTCCCTAAGATTATAGTGGACATATAGTTGAATAAGGGATATATTGATATATGGTTGAACCATGAATGGACATATAGTGGATACATAGATAAATACATACAGATACATACAGATACATACAGATACATACAGATACATACAGATACATACAGATAGATACATACACATACATACATACATACCATACCATACCATTACATTACATTACATTACATTGCATTACATTACATACATACATACGTACATACATTATAGTCATAGTGGCTTGCTATACTATTCTATCCAGCTATTCCGGTATATATATATATACTGGCGAAAATTGTATAGCACACCTGCAAAAAATGGAAAAATATGTAAAGTAGTAGCACACAAGTGGACACATGCATAAATCTATGAATTAGTGAATGCAATACGATATAGACTGGAAATGGTGACGTTATACGGGCAAACAAAGCACAATGAAGATATAGTGACAGAGCCTGAAGATATAGTGATGTTTCTTTTTTTTGACGGGGGGATGTAGGCAACAATGGGGTTTGGGGTTGATAAAAAGTGGCGATTTACGACCATGGCCGTTCAAAAAAATATTTTTTTGGGAAAATCCTGCCACCCCATGAGATTCTGGGGTGCCGTCCGCACTTTTGGTAATGGCTCGGTGGGCTTCAATTGAGTTCACCCACTCACCCTGCAGGAAACTGCGCCTGGGCTAATCTTGTTCTACGACGGAAGTGATGCAGAGATGGTTGAGTGACTTGGACTGACTGCGTGAGTGGTGGAAAAGAAACCGTTAGGTGGAACGAAGATGAAATGAGCGCTTTGAGGGGATGGTTTGGTTGGAGGGAGAGGGCGGGGATGTTTGGATATATTAATATTAGACAATGACGACTTGTTTATTGAACATTGGCCCTCGCGAATCTATACACAATGACCAGACATAGGATATATATATATATGAATATATGAATCTTACTGCCATGCCAAAGATCCCCAAAACAAGTAATCTGGTAAATCCAGTATAATCCAGTTCATAAACCATCCCCAAGTTTGGTAGGTTTATGGCATCCGGAACCCAGGCTGTCAGAGAGCTTGGATGCCACCTGCCGCCGGGTAGACTTGCGCAGTGGCGATGTGGAGGAGGTGGCGAAGTAGGGATTTGGCAAAAGGGGTTGAACCCCAAATTTCATCGTTCAAACCGCATAATTTTTAATCTTTGCGATTTTCTTCCACAATTGGGAAGTTAAAGATAGGTTAAGCATGTTTAAGCCTCCAAAAAGTTGGAAGAAAGCAGACTTTTGGTACACTTTTGGTACACTTTTCTGGCCAAGTTTCGATTTTCATGCCATGGTAGGCCCTGGGACAAGCGGGCGAGCCATGGGTCACGATGCTGGCAGATGGTGCTGATGCAGTGATCCAGGAGGCCATGGAAAATCCCACCATTTTCTTCGATGATTTTGTCATATCTAACCATGACACCTCCATTTTTGATGGGCACTTTCTTATTAGAACCTTATTTAACCTTATTTATTATAGATTGGATCATTTTACCTTATTAAATCCATTTTTGATCTTTTACCGCAGGGGAATCTAATTGTAAATACATGGTTTAGTAGTACAGGAGGCGTTGTGAGGTGGGAAGATTGAATGGATGGAGATGGAGAACTGAAGCATTTGAGTGCCATGTTGGCTTCGTTGAGCAGGTCCTCTTACTGACAGGTCCGTCAGGTCGACGAATTAACTTGGCTGCGCTAATGTAGAAGTGGGGGGCGCCACTTTTCCAATAGATTCCATAGCGAGATCACCAAATGACACGAGGACTTTGCTAAATGGACAACCTCCCACCTTGGGGAGACCATGGTAACCATAATTAGATAAGACCCAGTTCTTCATGCGATAACCTCACTTAGAGGTCTTACCCACCAAGGTTAACAAACCAAGGCTCAGTGGCCCCATGGCCGCAGGCGGGTCCTTTGTTCCTTTGCCTTCCCAACGGTGAAGTGCTGAAGAACGGGCAGAAGGAACGATGGATGCTGGAGTGATTGGGATGTGGCACTGACTTACTGATGGTTAAGTTGAAGTGCTTGGGGAAAAATTAGTGATTGCAAGCACACTGGGGATCGTGTATGTATATATATATATATACAATGTATGTATGTGTATTCGCACACACACATAAATATGTACATGTATGTATGTATATGAATATATATATATATATACATACATGCATATATGCATATCCGCAAATGCATGTGCTAACAACAACAACAACCAGGTTTGTGGGGTGACTGGGATTAGACTTGGGGCAGCCCGACTACTGGTGCAACTCCAAATCAGCCGAGGTATGAGTTGAACTACTGGCTGCTTGGCGCAACTCCCTAGGGCCCGTGCTGGGGCGCGTGTTGCCCGATGCTACCCTCCGGTAATCAAATGTGGCAATTGGAGATCCCCTATAAATGGAGGCTTTAATAGAAAAATCATCTAGAAATGCTGGATTTTCATGGATTTTACATTGCCACGTTTGATTACCGGAGGCTACATCAAGCATTGCCTTGCCTTTCCACACAGCTAAATGAAAGTCGCCCACTGGCTGAAATATCGGACTTCTCCTGGGGCAATCCGGATGTCATTTGCCAACTGCTTGAGCATTTCCTAAATCGGATGGTTAAGGCAGGTTAGCACATGAATTAGTAAACATGTCCAGTCTTGAAGTGAACATCATTGAATGTTTCGGACCCAAATTTCATTTTTGGACCCAACATGTCAAATCATGCCAAACATGGTCCCCTGGTTTTTCTTCTGTTAAAACCCATTCCATTCCTCTTCTGCTTGTAGCGGCCCAGGAAGGATGTAAAGCCACCCAGCGATGCCACACGTCAGCGACTGGAGGTGGGATTAGCCGATCCAGTCATCCAAAAACCATCAAGAATTGGATGATGGTTTTGGTCCGATGTCATCTCAAAGTCATCCAAACCATCATCCAATTCATGTTTGAGCTAACGCTGCCTGTCTGCTCCAACTTTGAAAGGAGTTTGGAAGTCAAGTCACGCGCCGTTCTCACCCTTTTTTTTAATCTTCCAGTCAGGTCAGGGGGTGCCCGCTTTTCTCAGACAAAGCCGTATGTTATAGCATGGGTGCAAGAAACACGGATAGATATTTGCATTTTGATGGTGGATGATGTGGATATATTTGTACACACCGGATATGCTATGACTGTATGTCATGTTCCACTGAACATTGGTTGTTTCAGGTCACTTTCCTCTCCGTTCATCCACAGGAAAGCCTCTGGGCACCCCTGCAGCGACTCAACAGTGGCTTCGCTCCCACAGAGGACGTAGCAGTGTGGTGGGCTGCGCCTGAAGCGGTGTCCCTTTGGGGTCAGGCGGGGACCCCGAGATGGATCAACGTGGATGAACGTAGTCGTGGCCATGGTTGGCTGCGAAAATCCACCAATGTTCTTGGAGAATTCGGGCATTTGACAGACATGATTGAGTACCGGAGGGTACTCCCAACACCCCACATAGGTTTAGGGGGACACTGACTAAAAGGTGCTCATTGGGATGCGATGATGATACAGTGCAGACTCCTCTGGTTGGAATGTCCCATGGTGAGGCTATGGCGCGAGAGAGCTTTGCCGTGCTGGACCCTGTGGGATAAGCTGCCGGCAGTTGTGATCCCAATTCTGGATGAATCTGAATTGTTGATTGTTAAGATCCAGATCAAAAATTGGTAACTAAATAATCTGATTTTTTGACCCTTCAATCATCCTTAATCCAGTATGTTGATGGTGAAATCCTAATTTTTAAACTAGTGAACTCCCTTTAAACACATCATTTCTCTCACCTGAACCTCCCGACGGATCTCAAGGACGACTTCCTGCCGCCTTCAGATGCTCGTGCGTTGGCCTCGGCCATTCAGCGCCTGAAGCCCAAGATGAGTAGAGGCTGGGGAGCGATGGCCGCAAGGTCAGTCGTTTCTGGGGGTTGATAGTGCATGATGTGGATGATGCTGGAAGGGGGTTTTCCAGTGTATTCATAGATGATGTTACTAATAATTATAGTTATAGTTTGTTGGATGGTGTTTTAAGATCTCATCTAGCTAGTTCGAGAGATCGATCCGTCAATGTTACTAGTTGGCCTAGGTATGAATCAACTTACCTATTTAGAGGGCCCCTGTAGGTGGTGAGGGTTTCCCAGATTTGCATATCTTTACATACCTGATCGTATATTTCAAATAGTTAGACTGTACTTTTGATATCTTATGATTACATGTGCTAAAGGGAACTAAACGGTACTGCACACATGTATAAGCATGTGGAGTAGGCCTGACATGACGCCAAATATCTGGCTCAAGTCGCAAGGGAAAACGGTGTTTGCGCCGCTCAGCAATGCTGCCTGGACTCCGGCTACTAGGACGTTAGGGATTCCAACAACTACAACCAGATATCCGGGAACAAGGATTAAAATTGCTCACAGGTTATCAGCCGTATAGGGCTCACTTCTTCCGTCGGAAGAGGAGTACCTGCGTGCTGGTAGCCGGGCCGTCAGAGCTTAAGATTGTGGACGCAAAGGACCAATCAGCTCATCATCGCAAAGATGCAGGGCGGCAGCGGGGACTCGCGCAACACGCAGTTTACCTTCAACGAGAACGCTGCTATGCCGGTCGAGGAGGTCACTCAATCTTCCCCTGGCGACACAGCAGACAGTGGTGGGATACGCCCTACCCGAACTACACAGTCCGGATGGCAAGTTACATCAAACAGACGAAGAATGTCCACCCAAAGTACACCAAGATCTTCTCGAAACAGTGCTCGAAGTGATGTTGTCCGCCAAGGGCATCGACCATCTCGAGGACGAACTACCCCAAGGGACAGATCCACCAGGGCCGGAACCGACCGAATTGGTGAGAGGACCGGGGACACTCGCGTTAAGAGGAGATCAACGGATACTTCTGTGGCTAGTGAACCTATTGCCATCATAGAAGAACTACGGGCACAATGTCAATCCTTACGTAATCAGTTGAACAATATGGAAGCATATGCTGCATCAAGAGATCAACTGATTCATGACATCGAGATCAGATTCACTGAATATCTTCAGGAACAAAACCAGAATGTGTTTGATGAGGTCAATGCACTCAATCATAGATTGTCATGTTCCGCAAATGAGGTTGCAGAGTATCAAGCAGAACTAATGGTAGCATCTCAGGAAGACGAAGGTGCAACAATACGCATCCAAGACCTTGAACGCCGAGGTGCCCTGATGGAACACGGTGCAAGACGGATCCATCAACGCGGTATGGAGATCCAGGAAGAGTACAAGGATGAAGTACATCACCTTCAAGGACTATTGGGTAATACGGAGGCAAGACTGCAACAACTTCATCAGACCAATGTCTTAACTACCGATATTGCCAACCGATTGTACACTGAAGGTCAAGAAATGCAGACGGATTTCCAGAACTCAATCATGGAATATCGTAATCGATCCGAAATGGCATCCTTCTCAAGCAATCAACTTGAAATGATTAGCCAACAACAATCAATTGCAGTTCATGAATTGTCTGAACGGAATCAGCTATTGAGTGAAGCTCTAGTTCAATCTCGTAAACAGGCCGAGTTGTATGAAAACAGTATCGAAGAGATCACTAGAGAATCTAGAAAGATGGTTTTCGAGGCAAATCAGGCCAAATTGGAAAGCGATCTGAAACACCGAAACACTGAACATGATACTGTCAGAAGAATTGCATCATACAGGAACAACGAGGCCGAAGCGATATCGCACCTGAGGCTTGAATCACAGGCTAGTGCAAATGCGATCGCGAGGGCAGAGCACTATGAAGAGCTCTACGCCAACGAGCAGGAGATGAACTGTGAATTGAAGGATGAGATCAGATTGCAGAACGTGAAGTTGCGAAGATCATCAACTCAGGGCACTACGATCGACGGTCGTGGCCCTGATGAGATGCTTGTTGAAGATCTACGGAACCAAGCCAAAATCGCTCAAATCAGGGTTCAGGATCTAGACCATGAAGTTCATGAATGTTTACAGGAGAACATGTTGTTAAAAGAAAGATTGACTGAAGTTGCGGATGTAGGGGCGTCGTCCTTCTCCAATGCTGAAGTCCGAGCTTTAAGATCTGAACTAGAAAGTGAGCGCAAAATGAAATTGGCTAGTGGTGTTCAGCAATATGAGAGATCATGCATGTTCATGGGGGAAATTCAGGATAGGGATGAAAAGATTGGTATCAAGAATTCTGAGATTATTGACATGAAACGTCGCATGGACGAACTGAGAAAGAGTCCCAAGGATTCTGAAACATCTATGTCCAGGGTCAACCCTGATACGCTTCCCTATTCGGCAGGTATCCCCGACTATGATCTCGCATCAAGACTGATCATTGCTAGACTGGAGAATGAGGTGAGTGAGGCTAACTCCGAGAACTCTGTCCTGAAATCATGGGTATCGCAGATCGACAAGGAGTTGACCTACGAGACTAATGCTGCTCTCTCCTATCACGGGCATGCTGGACCATCTCAAAATCAACCATCTCAATCGAACAAAAGGATCACCGACCTGCTGAAAGAAGTTGACAACAAGATCGCCGATGGAACCGAGAAGGACTACTACAAGCCTCCGGGCGGAAGGGGTGGTCCACCTGACCCTGATGGGCCTCCTGACCCTTTTGGACCTAATGGTCCAGGACCACCTCCAGAACCTCCTGGCTTGCCTTCAGTGCGGGGATCACAACGCGATTCAGCAGATGATATCTCCACTGCGGCGTACACGGCAGAAGAAGTACCGAGAATGTCGAGACGGGAGGCTGACAAAGTTTATGTTAGCCCATGGCCGAAACAACAGAACCTTATGGTTTGGCAGTCAGATCTCATCAAGAGTGTTGTTCTTGCCGCGAACGATGGAGACAAAGCTGCATGGGAAGCGTGGCTACAGCCGGCTATTCGACCAAATCCTGACATCGAGCTACTGAATGACAGTGGTGGGCAACGATATCAGTCGATCGACGCGAAGTTGTCAATCGCATTGTCGAACGTGATAGCCCAGGCCGGTGATGTTGCTCGCCATGTAGCAATCAAACTGAGATTGAGAACACAGATTC